CTAACATGGGATACCTTGCAGGTTTGATTTATTTGTGAGTATCATGGGTATTTATTTGATAGAATAGAGCTGTAATACGTAGTCAAATCATTATGGTAAAAAAATTTATAGGCTCTAGGCCTGATAAAAGAATAGAAGTATCGTAAATATTGATAGAATTTTATTAAATGTATAGATTTATACATTTAACCAAATTAAATTTATATAATACCTAATAATAGTTAAATCTGATGTTTAAGGAAAAAATTGTGTTAGAAGGTAATGCCTTTTAAAAAGGGGTTATAGAGGGGCATTGGTGGACGTGTTTAAGGAGTTTGTTCCAAAGCCACACTGTTCAGCCGAGCTCCAACCTTGCTATGAGAGGAGCGGAAGCCAGACTGGTAAGAACATAGGAGGTTGAGAGGTAAGAAGTTGAAATTAAAAGAACTTTCTAATTATAATTAGCTAGTTTTAGTGGTACGTTGGATTGTTCTAGTAGCAATAACTTCCTAGTTTATAGATAGCGTTTAATTTAAATAATATTAAAATTCTTATTTTGTTTGTTGTTATTGTTACTTTGTGTATAGCAGATTAATTTTCCATCTTTCTAGCTTTGCTTTAATGGTTTTTTTATGTATATTACAGATAAGGGATTCCTACCTGCAGAGTGCAGTGACACTACTGATCTGCTGCTCTTCATGAACAATCTTTTTGATTCAGTAAATGGAAGTGATGTGGCAAGCACTAGCCTTGAATTGTCTTTTTTAACGTTTTTTGGTAAGGATGATCTATAGCATTCGACTTGCGGGTTGCAGTCGCAATCCTGCAGGCGGCGCCACTCGCCCGAATTCTGATTGGCGCGGTTGTACCGTCACGCGGCTCATAGTATATAAGGCTCACTTAGACACGGCGGGCACTATGCAGAGGCGTGCGATTTTCACCCACCTCGGACCAAGAGTACCGAACAATCCAGAGGTACCTGGGGGATCTGGAGAAGACCGAACGAGTGTCCTGGTTCTCCTACTCCTTGCCGACGGAACGCAGCCTTAAGGTAGCCATCAGAGGGTTACCAACCACCACGGAACCAGCAGAAATCCAAGAGGCCCTGGAGGACCTTGGATTCAAACCAGAATACGTCCGCCCAATAAAAGCCAGACAGGGGAGGCCGGGATGCATCTTCTTGGCCATCCTATCACAAACTCCCAACTTGACGCCAAAAATATACGAAGTGACGGAGCTGCTATGCATGCCAGGCGTCATCATCGAGGCCTGGCGCGGCAAGCGAGGACCTGCACAATGTCACCGCTGCCAGGCATACCGCCACTCCAGCCACCAATGCCACCGCCCGTTGGCCTGCGTCAGATGCGGCGGAGAGCACGCAGCGCGCGACTGTCCTCGGCCCCTGGAGGAACCTGCCACCTGCGCTAACTGTGGCGGTCCCCACCCAGCGAACCATTCCTCATGCCCACAGTATAAGAGGGAGCTGCGTAACAAGAGGGCTGGAGCTGTGGCTATCACTCAGGAGACCAAGCGCTCCCAACCCTCGCAAGCTCCAACTGCCGAACCGACTGTTCAAGAACACCAAGGTGCCACGCTGATGGCACCTGCGAACGAGCCCATTCCCAGGGAAGTCTCAACCGCTTCCCTCAAGAAGAGGAAACGAAAGCGCGGCAAAAAGGGCGGCACTCAGGCCGCTTTCAGAAGGCATATGAGGATAGAGGTTTGCGTCAGAGAATTGCACTACTGCGAGCTTTGTTTAATACGAAGTTAGAAAACCAAAGCATGGAGAGCTACATCAACAAAATAGTTGAAATATCACAACAACTCAATAATATTGGGTCACCACTCGATGATGATTTCATCGCAGTCATTATGCTACGCGGACTGACTGAGGATTACGATCCCCTGATCATGGCGATTAAAAATTCCAACATGAAGTTGTCCAGCGAGGTAGTACAAGGCAGGTTGTTACAAGAGAACCTGCGTCGTGATGACAAGAGTGAGAGAGTGGATCGGCTCTGGCAGCTGCACGGAAATAACCCAAATGTTTTCAATGTAATAAGACTGGTCACTTTATAAGAGACCGTCCAAAGAAGCCTGGTAAGAAAACCAATACCAAGGTTAGGAACATGACAAAGATGGACGAATCACCTTGACGGGCGAGTTACTTAATCTTTTTTTAAAGATATTTCAGCAGAAACCGTCGCAGAAAACTTATATGAAGGATGGATTAGTCGTTTTGGTTGTCCAATTAAGCTACTAGTGACCAGGGTAAACAATTTGAAAGCAATTTATTTATGGAACTTATGTTATTAGTAGGTATAAAAAAATTGCGCATAATCCCGTACCATCCTCAGAGCAACGGAGCAGTAGAACGTTGGCATAAATCATTGAAAACAAGCCTCATGGCATGTCTAAATTATAATAAATCTTGGGTAGACGAATTGGCAACGGTAATGTTAGGATTACGCACAACAATTAGAGTAGATACATACAGGTGTCACCGCAGGACAAATGTATGGCAGTAACATTAAGCTACCAGGCGATTTCTTTGACGTCAGTAGTAATAAGTCTTGCGATAGTGACAATTATCTTAGTAAAGTAAAGAACATTATTAAATGTTATAAACCAGTCACTAGAAGAAATATTAACTCATCGAGAATTTTTTTACTATTTTTGTGCATAAAGATTTAAATAACTACGAATATGTATTTTTAAGAAATGATGCAGTACGGAAGCCGCTACAACCTTCGTACGACAGACCATACCGCGTCATTTGTATTGATTATCCCTCTGCATATTTAACTATAGTGAACACGAATTATTCACCCACACACACTAAAAGACGAAGAAGTGAAGGATGCAGTTTCGGCGTATTTTTCAGACTAAGACAAAACATTTTTTTTTCGAATAATCGGAAAGATTTATAAGGGTAGCAGGTGTATATATTGTAAAAGGAAAATAAATTCGTACTTTTATTTCCAATTCTTACCCCCCTTTCCGCAAACTTAAAAGTAGCACGCATACTATACATTACCTTGTATAACATAACCGTTACACGACGACGAGTGTCCGCGACGGCGAAATCTAGTTTTAAGAGGAAGCTGCCCAAATTTAACGCTGATTTGCCGGGATATTCTATCTATACCAGATATGAAATCAATGTGATAATTTAAAGATATGATTTTTCAAACCTTTTTCTATATATTCAGTAGAAAAAGTAATAACAGAGAAAGTGCAGATATAACAGAAGAAAACAGAACTCGCATTTTTAACAAATTTTGGAATGAGATGAACTGGGACCAGCGTAAAGTATTTGTAGCTAACCATGTAACCTGTAAAGAAAAGAAAAAATACACTCTAGGATTCCCGACGTAAGATTACTTTTGAATACAGCTTGTCTACAACAGATTCTAGTGGGACTACCAGTATTGAAGTCTCGCTTCGCTTGGGTTCGTCCCTAGATACGTTTTAACGGTTAGTATGAAATAGACTATACATACATATATATGGGTCAATCAACTTTTATTTGTCCTGTAAGTACTATGTTTTGTCCCTGACCAATAATTGCAGTTCTAAAGAAAATTAAGTGGTTTTTTGGCATATGGTGCATTTATCTTATTATTAAGCATACATACGAGTAAATTATTTTAAATAAATCACTATTAAACTGGAATTTTAATGGTTGTCCAGGTGACAAGACATCTGGATGTAGTGTTTTTGTTTTTGTCCCCCAGTAGCTAATTACAATGAAACATTACTTTATACAAAAAAATACTATATGGCAATTATTTACACTTGTACATAATTATTCATTACAATGTTCACTAAGATGCTGGCATATAGATTTTTGTTTGTTTCATAATTTTACCGAATTTTTTGCATGTTCGTTTTGGTCCATTATATTTTATTATTCCGACTTCCACCGGACAACGGTAAAAAAGTTCCGAAACCAAAACATAGATGGAGTGATCAGTGCCTTGACAATAAGTCGGTCGATTTGGTGACAACACTCATCCAACCGCCATTTTGATTTCATCATTGCCGCGGTGTCAGTCGGTCGCGCGCGTTTTGAAAAAGTGGGTGGCTTTTTTGTGTGTCTACCGGACAACCAGCACAAAAACGTAAGTATTTGATATATCGTAGTAAATAAAAGTGAAATATATTCTATTTTATCTATATTTTTCACTGCGCGTAAGACCTAATTCAAAATATCATTATTTATTATCAGGAAGCGCAAAGACTGATAAATGTCACTCGGACAACCAGTCACTTGGACAACCAAAACCGTTGTCCGTGGGACATTTTGGTTGCCCATAGGACAATTAATGATAGAATCATAAAGCAATACTTTTTCTTTCAATAATTAGTCACTGAAGAGCCTTTTACAAAGGCTAGAGCATTTATTATTGCTTAATATAAATTAGATTGATATTTTGACCAATTTCAACTTTTTACTTCTTGACGTGTGGAACACCGAGTCGATGAACGATCCGATGATCTCTGGTGTCAGAGTTTTCAAACCACCTACTACTAGCAGTAGGCCTCTGACATGATTGTGTAACGACTGCCATCTAATTAATCATAGCAACCAGGACCAACGGCTTAACATGGCCTCCGAAGCACGGAACCATCTTTGTTATGAACAATCAGGTGGTTTAGCTTGCTATGTCCTAACCAAACTGGGCACAATCTTGTGAGTGAAAGTGATAAATTGTCAAATATTAACTTTACGTGTTCCTTACCCGAAAATCGAACCAGGGAACTCCGGACCCTAAGACAAACGCTCAAATCACTACACCACGGAGGCAGTTAGCTTACTTACTTAAAACATTTTTGCTATATCTAATAGTTCTATATTCTAAATTATTTTTGTTATTATTTTTAGATAATGGGTTTGACGGAAAAAGAAAAATCAAGACGCTATAGAGAAAGACTTAATGCAGACCCGGAGAAATTAGCTGAGCGAAATAGAAAAAAAAAGGGAAAGCTACCATAAGAATAAAAAACTAATTTCAAGTATGCCGCCAGAAGATAAAGAAAACTGCAGAATTATATGGAAGCTGCGAGAACAGTCACAGAGAAATCGCCAAAAAGCTGTTAGGAATATAATTGAGAATACGCCTCCAAGCTCTCCGTCTATTCTGCAAGAAATAAATCCCGAAGATCAACTTCAACCGACGACACCACCTCCCACTCCTGCCTTGTCTTCGAAAAATGAGAAGATTAGAGGCAGAAAAAAAGTTCGACGAAACAGGTCTAAATTATATAGAGAAAATGTAAAATTGCAATCTGAAAGCAAGAAGTGGAAGAAAAAGTTTGAAAAATATAAAAAGAGAGCTCATCGGAGAGAAAAAGAATTAATTAAAGTAAAAGAAAAAAGGTAAGAAAATATTGAAGAAAAACAAAAGTACGGCATATCAACAAACGCTATCAAAGATAATTACCGGAAAATTAAAGCCAGGAACGGCAAAAAAATGCTAAAAAACATTTTCGCGAAACTTGGTGCGCAAAAGCATAAAATAGTAAAAGACTGTTTGGGCTTACAAGGAAGACTCAGAACAAGTAACAAGCGTAATTCAGATAGAGAGCTGACAAAAAAAATTAATAGCATGATGTATCTAGAAATACTGCCGGCAAAAAAGAAACCATCACTAAAGGCAAAGAAAAGGTGCAAAAACGGTTCCTATTGGACTCAATGAAAAACTTGTTCAAAGCCTTCAAATCAGAGAATCCAAATGCTAAATGCTCATATTTCTATTTTACTAAAATCGCCCTTTCTACGTAGTTACACCAACAGTTGATGGAAGGGATATGTGCCTTTGTAAAGTACATACTAATGCAGCAGCTAAGATAAAGGCTCTAAAACAAAAAAGAGTTATTAGTGCTTTAGATCTAAGCACACTGATATCAGAGACAGTCTGTGACAGCACTAAAAAAGAGTGCATGTTTGGTACTTGTAATCAGTGTCGGGATAAGGAATTCAAGATAAATAGTGACAGTGTTCGAGGCAAAATACAGTGGTTTGAATGGGTGAGGGAACAGGAAATCTATCTGAAAAACGACAAGAAATTTAAAGCTGTAAAGAACGTGAAGATACTTAAAGAAGATACTAAAGAAAACATGGTCAAGAACTTTCAAGAAGAACTGAAGACTATAAAGAAACATATTTTTAATATGAAAACTCAGTTTAAAAATTTTCGCCAATGTGTTGATGAGATCAGAGCAAACGAAGCTGTGATATTAGTCGATTTCAGCGAAAATTATAATTGTAAATGTACAGAAGAAATTCAGGCGCATCAATTTAGTGGCTCTCGTAACCAAGTCACTCTTCACACAGTTGTGGTTTACGTATATGATAAAGATAAAAAATATGAAGCTTTATCGTTTTGTACTATTTCTCCATGCAATATTCATCAACCAGCTGCAATATGGGCCCATTTGCATCCCATTTTGATTAAGATTATCGAAAATTACCCTGGAATTGACACTATTCATTATTTCTCTGATGGCCCATTTTCGCAATATCGTCAAAAAGCAAATTTTTATTTGGCCTGCACGAAAACATTTAGCTACGGCTTCCAAGCTTTTAGCTGGTCATTCTTTGAAGCCGGGCATGGCAAAGGCCCTGCAGACGGTATTGGGGGATTCTTAAAAAGAGCAGCTGATAAGAAAGTGGCAACAGGAACGGACGTTACTGATGCTCTTCAATTTTATGAAGTTCTCAAAGAGTCGAGTAAAATTCAGTTATTTTATGTAACAAAAGAAGAGATCGACGGGATTCAGAGGGACATACCAAAGAATCTTTTGCCTTTGCCCGGTACAAAAGAAGTGCACCAAATATTTTCAAAGAGCTATGGCCAACTAATGTCCAGAAATTTGAGTTGCTTCTGTTCTAGAGGATTATGCGAATGCTTGCGTCCCAAGTTATACTCGCCGATACCAGCTCCAAGGAACATTCCAACCCCTGTCGACCCTGACGAAGACATACCTCAAGAGATGCCATTAAGTCCTATCCTAGCACCACTGGAAAATATTTACAACGACACATTCAGCGATGTTGACGTACCTTTAAATAATTTGCTATCCTCGAATAAAGACAACATTACATTCGCTGAAATACACGAAGGTTTACGCAAGAGCATCTACAAGAGTGTATATGGATCGTCTGATAGCTCTGACAATGAAAATGACACTACAGAGGAACCACAGCCATCTACGTCAGGACAAAAGAATTTATTGCCTGGTGTAGGTGACTTTTTGCTGGTCAAAGTTTTGAAATACACGAAGGTTTACGCAAGAGCATCTACAAGTGTGTATATGGATCGTCTGATAGCTCTGACAATGAAAATGACACTACAGAGGAACCACAGCCATCTACGTCAGGACAAAAGAATTTATTGCCTGGTGAAGGTGAGTTTTTGCTGGTCAAAGTTTACAGCACTAAAGGTAAATCATACGATACATATGCGTGCATTGCCGAAACCGATATCGATGAAGACGGTGAAATCAGAGTCACATTCCTAAAATGTGTGAAAAATGGAAAACTTTTTATATTGAATAAGATAAATCCTATGTAGCATTCAATGATATAATTAAAAAACTTCCAACCCCGGACATTGAATACAAAAGAGGCACTGAGTATTATAAATTTTCATGTGATATTAATGTTTTTAGAAAATAGTTCATGTATTTTAGGGTAACACCTATGGATCTCTGCTATGATTAAGAAATTTTGTTTTTGTAGATTAATTTTTAAGTTTTGTAGCTTACTGAACCCTTATGTGATACACAGAGGTATTAGTCATTTATTGAGACAGCTAAGTACAAGTTAGAGTCAAAAAAGTATTTAAGCTGATTAAAGAGGCTGTTAATGTTTGTAAGTTAATTAGCACCATTTAAGGGGTGAATGTACTTGTGAATATGAACAATTTTCACTATGTGGACAAACCTCTGAAATCGCAAAAAAATATCAATAAATTTTTAAAAATGGAATCTAATACGATCGTCACATAGGATCGCTGGCTAGCACAACTACTACCTCCGGCAAACTCGCGTCAATGCTCAATGCAAAACAAAGCAGTTTCGAAGACGTTGCTTCGAAAAGTATAAACTGTCAGTGCAATGCGATTGTGATATAGTTTTGACCTGGCTTGCTCGTTAATTAGGACTCTGTTCAAGCCCTTTGTTGTGGATTTCGTCGATATGACCGAACGTACGCAGAGAACTGTTCTAAATAGTCAGACACGTGAGTTCGTAATACGCCTTCGTAACTATTTCGATCGTGAAGCTCAAAATGGAGGGCCAATTTTACCTATAACGTCAGTGGTTGAACGCGTAGCTGATGCGCTTAATATTGGACAACGAACTGTTAGACGGATAACTAAAAAAAAATATGGCGAGACTGGCACAGAAGAAAATAAACTTCACACACCAAAAAAGAGAAAACGAGCAAAACCAGTCGTAGGCATCGATAGCTTTGATGCCGATGCTATCCGAAGACATGTTTACGGCTACTATACGGCAAGTGAAAGAAATCAAACATCTACTTCCAAAGTTCCTGTAGGAAAAGGATCGCGACTTATAATCTTTTGCGTCAAAATGGAGACTATCATGAAGACATGAATGGAGAAAAGTTTACTGAATGGTTTACTCAATGTTGTGTATGAACCATCTATTATAATTATGGACAACGCCCCATACCACTCGATGCATTGACAAGCCACCTGCCCAATCCCAAAAGAAAGCTGATATCGTCGCATGGCTTCGTAAAAATGGCGTAGATGCAAACATGAATATGTTAAAAGCGGAATTAGTACGTCTTTTAAAAGAAAACAAACCAACCAAGATCCGATACGTCATTGACGAAATAGCATTAGAACATGGGCACAGAGTTAATCATAGCGTGCCGCTAGTTTAGTAAGAGTTGTCACGTTTATAGGTCTGTTCATTATTTAGTCATTTATTGTAATGTTGATTCTTTCGTAAAAAATTATAATAAAAATTGAAAATTATTGTCATACAGTTGTTTTTTTAACATAAAAATAACAAATACAGGCGATTTCAATCCTAGTATCTCCTTTGAACTCCAGAGTATGTCCTATGGACAACCGTATATGTCCACTGGACAACCATTTTGTCCCTGTCTCCTAAAGACACATTATCGTCAATTTTACTTTTAATTATTATTTTACAAGTTAAATGAAAATTTCGTTACATTTAAAGTTTGTCGTTGTCCAGGAGACAATATAATTGGAAATAACTTATCAATTAAAAATCACGTCTTTTATTTATGGAAGACAAATTGAAATCCATCCTATATTAAGTGAGAATAAAGTGACGATTCACATTTTGACTGAATTTCAAATGGTTCAGAAGTCTATTTAGTTAGTTGTCTAAAGGGACTATCTTAACTAGAGTCATGAGGATTTCGGAGTCAAATTTACTATTTTATTTAAATAAATCGTTCTGCTCTATGTGAATTCTTAAAATATAAATAATTATCTAAAGAAAAAATGTTATAATATAAAAAAAAAAAAACAAATAAAATTAAAAAAATAAAATTTATCATTGATGTACACTTAAAAGTTGATTGACCCATATACATTATATATATTGTACTTATATATATTGTACTTATATATACATAAGCATAATGAGTTGTTGTGGGTTGTATATTATGTATAGTAGGGTGCAGCAAAAAAACTATTTTTTTCTTTTTCGTGTGTCGTATAAAAATGTTAGTTTTTCATGTTTTAAGAGCCTCCTGAAAAAAACTAGCTAAAAATTTTTTTTAAAGCCGCTCACAATTTTTTGAAATTTTAAAAATCATCAGATTAATTTTTTTTATAATTTTTAAAAAAGAGATAAAATAAATTTCGATTCTGAAAACTTCAATTTATAAATGTCGCTCCGAATCTTTTTAACTTGAAAATTAATGTACCTTAAATGTTTTCGAACGACCTCTACATACAAATATTAACAAAATATTTTTTTCCATTGTTTCTTTGGTGTATAAGATCGTCCTAACCTCAAATCTCGTTTTTGATATTGTTATTTATTTCAAACATATTAATTTATATTTAATAATATCCACGCCAAGAACCATCAGAGCAGGTGTACCACAGGGTAGCTGCCTATCCCCGGCACTCTGACTCTGTTTACATCGATGACATTCCGCTCGAACCGTCCTCGTCTCTCGCTCTATACACCAACGACATGGCAATAATGACGAGTTCTATTAACCTAAACACGCAACCACCAAACTTCAGAGATCCCTAGACATACTCCCCGACTGGCTCGCAAAATGGCGTATGCGAGTAAATATCAAGAAAACGCAATGTTTTAGCCACAGGTCATCACCTAGACAGGATTCCCAAACTAAGGCTAGAAAACCAAAACACCGAGTGGAATAAGGCTGCCAAGTACCTCGGTGTCACGATCGACAGAAATCTGAATATGTACCAGCATGTCAAGAACACCACGTTCACAACAAGCGTAGCCATCAACCAGCTTCGCCCCGTGTTAATTCTCTCTTCTCCACTGCCTCTTAAAATCCAGATAAATCTAGTCAAGTCATACATCTTGCCACGCTTGACATAAGCCTCTCTCGTATAAATACGATTAACTGTTCTTTTTCAATTTTCATTTTTTGAGGGCTCTAATTGTTTCGGCATGGCTAAGACGGCCCTTGTGCAAACAATTCAACAATTGTAGTAACTAAACGAAAAACGAAGTTACACAATGAGAACACTGTCTATAAAATTCATAATAATCGCATCATTTAATTGCTTGTGAATAAAAATACTTGCATTTCTGGGACTCAGGGAACACCCATACGAAGAATTTACGAAGACTCATAGCCTCCCGTCAATGTGACTGATTTGGTACGTCATTTACAATGAAAAAGTAATTGGGCCATACTTTACTGAGGATGCTGACAGACCATCACAACCTTAAGTAGCGAGCGCTACAGACAGATGGTGAAAGAGTTTTGTTTTGGAACGAACGCGTTACACGCTTTGAGCGGATTGGGCCTTGGGGCTACGCCGAAAAAAGTGTGATAAGACTTTTTTGCGACACTTTTTGCCGCGCCCCGAAAGGTTCGACGGCTCTCTTCTCTTCGGTTATACTCGGCTAGCATCTTCTCCCCGCGCCGCGCGCCGTCTGCACAACACTTTAAAGCAGACCATTCAGTATTTAATTTATGTACGAATTTGTATTGAATTTGAAAAATTCAACCTTTATAATTTTTTGACTTCAAACGACCAATGAACACCCTATAAAACTTACGAAACAACCTTAAGAACTGAAGCTACAGAACTGACAACCAAGACCCGTTCTAAGGACGTTAGTATCGCAGCTTATATAAACGTATCAGAACGTAATGCTTGCACGATGTAGAATACTACTAACGCTATCTATTGTTAAATTAATGAACTAAACAACTCAAACAATTAATTATCATTATTTATTTCATACAGTATAAATATATTTTATCGTAAATTTTTCAATTGAACTTTTTTTTATAATATAAATTATAATGATTATATAGCAATATATATATAGCAATGATTATATAGTGAAAATTTACTGTATTGAGCTCGTGATTGTGCAATATTCCAGAAGGAGTCTGAAACGAAACTGTTGAAGCCATGGAAGTCACTGTACCAATTGTCGCTGTGATGAACTTCGGAATCGTGATGGAATCTATCCGTCCCCTACTACCTGACGCTGTGAATTGTGATGGCATTGCTATCATGAATGACTCGAGAACAGCTTTCTGGTCTTTGAACCTGACCGTGAAGAATGCTGATTTTCCAGATCCTAAGAATCCTGAGCAAGCTAACGACGTTAAGAACATTTTACAGCGAGGGATGAAATCCTCTGGGATCATTAGACATGTCAATCAAATCATTCTAAACTTGCCCTCTGGGACCATTTATAAATGGCAGGTATTAGTAACTCCGCCAGTTACTTATAGCAAACGTCTACCAAAAAGCGAAAGGACTTCGTTCCGACCATGACGATGAAGGTCTATAGACCCCTCACGTTTTTATTTTTTTTGTTAGAGAATTGCCTATCAAGTCTTGATGGTGCCAGCAAGATAAAGCAATCGCTTACTTATGTATGTAGATGAAGCAACAATGGAGATTTTGCAACATTAATTTCAGTTGTGTGAGCTGTTTTAGGGATTTAAATTAGCGTGATAGATCGCTGGCGCTCTGACAGCATTTGAACTCTTCCCTTTGAGGTTTTTATGAAATCTCGCCTTAACCACAAAAAAATTCGTTGGAAGCCAACAGTGAAGAAGAAAACACCAATTCGAAACCAAAGGTTTTGAAAAAACAATTTAAAAGGCCACGAAATGAGCAAAAACGTGCATTATCTTAGGATATGATATCATTTTTTTTAGAACTATGTCACTAATTTCTTAATTTCTTCTTCTTTTCAATAAACTTAGCACTTTCAACCAAACTAACGTTTATTATTAGTTAGCTTCAGTGTTCGCAAAGTTTGGCTCATTCTTATGAAATTTCTTTACAACTAGCCAAAGCTAAAAAACCGTTCATTGATGGAGTATATTTAAAAATATGCGCAGTTGCAATACCCTTCATGCAGCCTAAGCTGGAGGGAAAATTTGAATCTGTAGCATTATCCCACCCAACAGTGGCTCGACGAATAGATAATTGCATTGTAGAATGTGAATACTATTCAACATGTTTGATGAATAGTATTCACATTCTACAATGCAATTATCAATAGTAATATAATGAACAGACAGATACCTGCCAGCTATTAATATTTATTCTGTGCATTTCAGATTTTACAATTACAGAACTAAAGGCAGTGTATCTTTCAAGCTCTCAACAAAATTGTTATGGACTACAGAGGTTTTCAAAAATATTGTTGTCCTCCGACTGATGGAGCAAAAGCTTATGACAGGGACAAAAACGATGATGATGATGGATATACAGAACTTCTAAAACAAAATTATATTGATTGGCCATTAATCCACTGCATCATACATCAATAAGCCTTATGCGAGAAATCTTTACATGAATATATATAATACAAAATGAATACAATGAAAGTGACTAAGAATAACGAATCTCATAAGAGGCGGAAACAAATAACAAATTGAAATAAAGTCTGATACAACACAATTTAAAAACAAAATACAAGGTCCTGCATTCCTCGCTGATATTGATTTTTTATTGATATGACACAACAAGGCAAACAACACAACATAGCTGACTTGTCACTAGAAAACAACGATTTTTTTTTAAGTTAAAAGAACAATAACATGGAGATTCCATTAACGATTGCTTTCGAAAGAGTAAAGACCGACTACCAATTAAAATTGTGATAAACAATCAGACCCTTTCTACCATGGCAGAATGGCCATGGCCGTGGCCAGATGACAGTTTCTGTGCTATCCCACGAGATTTGCCGCCGCTCGCTGATATGGGCGCGTCCCTAGAGGGCCTTTCCAGGACCCTTTAGGCGTCAGAGAGTAGGAGGCGCTGCCTGTGCGATCAGCCTAGCCGGGTGAAACCCTCAGTTGCCTCAAAGGAGGCCCAGCTAGACGATCAGCGACCGTTGGTGGCAGCTACTCCGGCGTCTTCGGGGTCCCAGGGGAGCGCAAATCGGTCTGGTGGACGAGTGTGACAGGGAGCTATGTCCATGATGTGTGTGTGATCGGATTCGTCCGTCTTCCCGACCATCCCCCTGCTCCCCCTCCTCCCCAAGTCATCGATGCTCTCGATACGCAGGTCCCGCTGGATAGCAAGCGTTCCTCACGTACAGATGGGCACCAACGACGACTCTTCTTAATGCAATTGACTGCTGGGTGCATAGACGTTTCTTCTGGTGATCCGTTAATAAAGCGAACAAAACAAAGACATGCAGTCTGTCCATATAGCTGTGTAATACTATTGTTTCACTAGAGCAATACCTTATCAAGAGGAGAAACTTACAGAGTCCTTTAATATTTATTTGGCCTGGACTCCCCCAATCTACGTATTGTGTTTTTTCATTGTGAGCAATAATGTAAATGAAATGAACAATATTAGGCAAACTGATATTTAATATTCAACGACAATGATATACCAAAAACAAAACCTGACACAGTATTTGCGGTAACATATAAACTATGCAATAAATATAAAATATTAACAAATTTCAACAGAGCAATAATAATTATTAATTTATTATAACTAATACGCTGACGTGAGCAATAAATTACAAATAAATCTTCATGAATAAATATTATGTATGTACACTAGACAAGAACTACAAAATATACTTATCTATAATATCTATTTATCCATTTTATTATTATTGGGTCTCGTCCGGAAGAAAGGTTTTTTTTTTTGTAATTATAATGAATTCATGCTTACCACTTCATTTATAGAAATTTATTAAACTAAATAAAGTACTGAAGAGTCAACCACAACTGATGTAAGCTCAAGTTGACTTTGTCAAGAGAAAGCATTGAGCCTTCACACACTGCGCTGTATTCATTCAGACATTTTAATATTAGTCTGTTTTTAATTATCAACATTAATTAAATAATAAAAGTTAATTATTTAAATTGACCAAATTACAATAAAAATTTAAAATTAAAAATTTTCAAAAATTTTAAAGTCAAAAATGGCTCAGCCAATTTGAATGAAACATAGCTAAGAACCATCCCAGTTAAGCCTGTTTTCAATAAAAAATATATCTATCCATCCGTTTAGGAGCCATGGTGCCAGCAACAGACACACACATCAAACTTATAACATCCCTCTTTTTGCTTTGGTGGTTAAAATTATGGCAGTACCAGATCAATGACTACATCAGGAGTCACTGAAGAGAAGAATTGAATTGAAAAATCAAGCAACATTAATTTCAAATTACAAATATGCTTCAATATTAGTATAAAAGTTTAAGTCAAACAGGACATTCCAAACCCTGAGTGCAGATATAAACTATCCTTGCAAATATAAGCATAACAAGCAGAAAGCAATAGCAGCAGCCAGCCACCGCGAACCAAGCCTTCATCTTCTGTCAGCAACACTACCCACAGGAACTGTCGGGCAGGAACATCTGCAAGCAATTGAAATTTATTTTAAAATCAAGTCAATTTTTACAAATCTGTATTGGTACAGTATATATAGACAAAACTCTTCATATTTTAAAAGCAAATATTGAGACGTTAACCTTCTAAAATTATACATATAATATAAAAAACACTTGCAAGAACAAAACAATATCATGTAAAAACAAATATGAAGCTTCCAGACAGCCAAATAAAGAAATAAGTAAAATTCAGTTTTAAATAAAAAGGAATATCTCATTATTAGAAAATCATTAGTCAATTTGTAAAATATATCAAAAATACTACATAATGTACTTATATCAAAATAATAATAATAGGCAAAGAAAGATGCTTATATATTTACTAAACAATGATTCCAATATGAATGGTATTCGACCCAAGTCATCTAGGAACACTGAAATGGTCTAAGTTCAGTTTTTGATGATAAAATTAAGAAATACATTAAAATGAACATTAATCTATCTAAAACATTAATATACAAATGTATTTAAAGCTTCAATTCACCTTAGCTGTGCTTCTATCAGCTAAAATATGAAGAAATAGCCAAACGACGCACGTGGCCGGGGTGTGGTATTAAAACTGGAGTTAAACGAACAATCGTCTAAATATAACATACTTAGAACACAAACATGATTGAAAGAATATAAATGTTATTTACTTACAGTTTGGTAATTGAATATATAACGTGGCGAAGACGATCCGTTATCGGCCATGTCGTCGAATTTGTACAATCTGAAATCAACATCAGAAATATTCTATAGAACGAACGATTGATACATTAATTTAAAACAATCTAAAATTAACACTTAATATACTTACAAAGGAATGTAGAATATACAGTTTCACATTCAAGAAGAAAAACGTCGCGATAGCACTTAGCAATCGGCATTCGGCATCACCCGTGCTTGTAGTTTGTATAACGACGACGGGCAACGGCAAAATTCGAAAAAATATGAAATAAATCCAAAGATTAAAGAGTAAGCAGCGTTGCCAATACCAATTTATTAAATTCCCCGAAAATCTAACTCAAATTCCCCAATTTGGGGACAAAAGTATACTGATTCCCCACAAATTCTCCTCAAAATAATTTAACAAAAAAAACAAGTTTTAACTATTCTATCTTTTATATTTTGAAGTAATTTTAAATAAAAGTTAAAACTAAAAACATAAAAAAAAATTTAAACCTAAATTTTTATGATTTTAAAACGTTAGCAGGTATATATAACGAATAGAAATTCGTAAAATGCCCGCTAGTACCCCCGAGAACAGTGTTGCCAGAGTGATTTGGTCGAAAGTTACGTTGGCATCCATGAAAAGTTACATTTTTAAACTAAAACTTAAGTAGTGGTAATTTTATGAGTGTGAATGTAGCAGCCATCAGCCAAATTTATAATTATTAACAAATAGAGTAAATTAAAATAAAATTTTTTATATGTTATAATTTGAAACTTTTCACTTGGGACATATAAATATACACTGAGCACTAACTATACTATGTGTGATTTAGTCCTATAAAAATATACATAAATCAATATGTCAACAGGAGTGCCATCTCTATTATGTGACAATCACTAATAAATTGTTGAAAACAGTTAAGCGGGTTTTATAAATTTTCGAATGCTACCGTAAATATTGCAATGTTTGTTCGTTTTTTATAAGATTTTTTTATTTTTACCTGTTTTGTAATTCTTGAGAAGTTACTTAAATTTAACTAAAATTGTTTCTTACATACATGTTACATGAACTGATCAAAAGTTACGTAAAATGTAAAAAATGTAACCTTCTGGCAACACAGCCCGAGAAATGGGTTGATGCAAATTGCAAAGCGGGAAAAAATAGTTTTTTTAATTCCCTGCTTATTGAGACGTTCTATCGAAAAATGTTTTTTACAAAAGTTGTAAGTCTATAATCTATAACTTTAAAAATTACACCTTTTACAATAAAGTCAAACTTTTGAAGATATTTGCAAAAAACTGTGTTATTAATTTTTTCTTGATTTTTTATTTTTTATTTCTGCAATTATCGTTTGATTTTCATGAAACTAGGGGAATGTAATTTTCGAAATACATATAATAAGCATATTTTTTTGAAATTAAAATACTTTACCGAGAAATATATGTTTCATGGTCTAGGGAGGCCAAAAATCACCCCAAAAGTGGACGTTTACATTTAAAAAAAAGTTTGTTCAATTTTCAAATAGAGCTCATTTTTTTCGTCTTGAACTCTATTTTTTGTAGAAATAAAAACATTGTATGGTTTTCGTGTAAAAACACCCTTACATTTGAAAAAAATGAATCGATAATTTTTATACTGTAAACTACATTTTTTTAATAAACATTGAAAAAGTGTATTTTATTCATTATACATATTTTCTTTATTTAAAAAAAAAACTTTTTTTAATCATTGAGTTGGCAGGTAAATAAAAAAAGAAAAAGAATAATAAAGAAAGAGTATTTATAATTTGGTGAATGTTATCTGTTGACTCTCTGTATAGTCTGTGCTAACCATAGATGATAGACTAAGAACAACAAGAAACACTGTCTGTATCTGGTATCTGTACCTAGGACGATGTATCATCCTAGATCTGTACTTTAAACTTTTATTTGTCAATTGTCATCTATGGTACTATAATACGCTATACTTATGAGAAAGGTGCCATGAAAGGGGCATTTTTTAGTGTAGTAGTCGTTTATTAATACACCTCCAATAAATAATATACCTATAACATAATACATATCATACTTAATCATAATCTGGCCAATGCGTTTAAATGTTGGATAAAAACTTTTTAACAAGAAAATAAAAACAGACTTCAAACAAAAGCACTAAAAAGTAAAAAATAACTGATTGGTAGTTTTCATTTACTATACATACCTAATCAAATATTTTCGAAGTCGGTGTGCTTTGCTTTGTATTGGCTGGCAGTTTATATTATTGTGCACTCAATCCGCACTTGGCCAGCGTGGTGGACTATGGCCTGATCCCCCTCGTATTGTAGGGAGGCCCACCCCCAGCAGTGGGACGTTAACTGAATACATTGTGCACTCACCTTTTAATTAGGTAAACCCTTAGTCAGTTAGCAGTACAATAACTGTCAAATATTATTCAAATAATCTAATATATACTTTTACTCTTTTTTTTAAATTTATGTTCATCTCTTAAACTCAAAACCTCCCTAACTCTGTTAATTTTGTTCAGACGAAAAGTCATGAAGCCTTTTTTATGTAAAATTTTAAGTTGTACACATTTTTATTAAAACTTTTTTGTCTAATTTTTACCGTTTTAGAGTAATTGCGAAAAATCACTTTTGACTTTTTTTTTCAACTCTTGCCGGGGGTTGCAGCCATGAATACCTTTATACATCATTTTTGTATCATTAAAACAATATTAATCTAAAATGCAAAGTTGGTTGCCAAAATTTTGATTTCAGACCTTATCCTGTTGCCATATAAAAGACGCTTATTAAATAAAAAAAACCCAGTTTCAAATATGTATTATAATTAATAATTTCCAACAGTCATAATCAAACAACATCTAATAAAGTACACTATGCCAGCTCTCATCGACACGACACGTGCGAGTCGTAATGTTAGTATACACTACACTATACATTAACAATATACAAGCAAAATCAACAAATATAATAATAATATATGAAAATTATTTTTTATATCACTAAAAAATAAAAATCAATATCAAATAATATAACTTAAAAAACATAATAATTAATGCCTTCACGTAAGAACATTTTTCAGATAAAAAATAAAACTAGCTGTTCGGATTTTTTCGCGGATTGATCAGCAATCACGGTCCTGGGATAGAGGAGTCTCGAAAAAATTTAAAAAGATAGTTTTATTTAAAATGTCAAATATTCATGTAAATCTAAACAAGTATTAGTTAAAAAATGCGTAAAATATGTATTAATATAATTTGTCTAAATTGACTTCATATGTGGTCCATTCAATACTTATTCCTGTAAATATTCAAAAACCTTTCATTCTGCCGCAGCTGCCAGCTCCACAGCCTTAAATATTCATTGAATTGGCCGAGATGTCTGTTTTCATTCCACACAGTTTCACACATTAGTGGAGGAGGTGCCTGCCGTGTATAGGGGCAGTATCTGCGTCTCCGGGATGCTTGTCTTGCGGGGCAATTGGGGTTTGTAGCTCTGATGTTCTCTTTTTCTGTCTTTGGGTTGAACGGAACAATCTGCATCTCACTTGCTATAGGTGATAAAGGTAATTCAATTTTAATGAGTTTCCCAGACACATCATTATTTTGCAGTCTCGATTGGACATCACTATTTTGTGTTTGTGGCATTGTACTATAGTGAGACTGAACTGAAAATAAAACAAAATGCAATTCATTATCAAATTTATTATTTATTATTATTAATTATTCAATTAATTGTTATATTATTATACTAGCATTGCCCGCGGCTCCGCCCGCGTTCAGATGATCAAAAACCAAATTCTTAGGTTTAACATATTTGTATACTTTTACATTGCAGTTTTTTATTTTTTTCTCAAGAATGAGATATTTTCCTGCAGTAAAAAGTATCCTATGTGTTGATCCGATAACCAGCTATCACCATACCAAATTTCATCAAAATCCCTCCAGCGGTTTTTCTGTGAATGTGGTTTATTAAATGTACTGATTATTTTATTTAAATACTAAAACCTATTATTAATTATTATTTAACTAATAAATAAAATAATTATTGTTAAAGAATATTTATAAGTAATTTATTATCAAATATACCTGTGTCATAAGACGGGCTGCAGTTGGAGGAGATGAGCTCTTCAACTGGATTTGCCATTTGTACCTTTATAGAAAATAATACAAACAATAAAAGAATATGTAAAGTATTATTTTAAAATGTGGAATTAGAAAATACTATAATCTATACTAATATTATAAAGAGATAAAGTTTGTGAATTGTGAGTTTGTGATGTTGTAGGGGATAATCTCTGGATCTACAGAACTGATTTAGATAAAATTTTGTAAGAAGATAGTTTGAGACCGTGGGAAGGACATAGGATATTTTTTATCCCGGAAATCATCCCTTAAGGGGGTGAAAACGGGGATGAAAGTTTGTATGGAGAATCAAGTTTCATTAAAAAAAACTGAAACTGTTTTGCTTATACCCTCGCTTAAATTAGTTAGTACTCTTATAGCTACTGCAAGTCATAATCTATGTGTACTAAATTAGATCTAAATTCAAAAAGCTATTTCGGCATAAAGGAGTAACAAGCATACACACATACTTTTACATTATTACACATACATATATGAATATTGTAAAAGAATTAACATACCTCGGGCACCTCCACCTTGATCTTTGGCGCTGTACTTAGCCTGGCAGCTCCCAGAGGCCGCAGGACACTCATCACGCGCTGCTCCAATTCCGACAGCGACGGCCTACACTGCGTCGCACCGACAGACACACTCTTATTTATTCTGGCTGATTTCCTTTTTGCATTTTTCTTCAGGTTCTTCCACACCTTTAAATGTAAATTAAATTAACATAGTCAATTCAGTTACATATAAAAGTCACAAACTTCTAATTTTCTCACTGACAGAGATAAGCGTTATTCTAATGGAAAATTCAGTTATATTAAAGTTAATATAGAAAGAAAAAATATTTAACTATTTTGTTTTGGTCTACTTCAATATAGATTTTAAATTGATTTATTAGAATTTGATGCCAATAAAGATTTGCCATAGGTACCTTTTTCCATGCCACTACAGTTTTCTGCTCCCCCGTCGTTTCCACGTTCAATTTTCTAGTCAGCTCACCCCACTTGTCCGACGACAAATCCGTCTCAAATTTACCGATATCCGCATTCCTACAAAATTTAATTATGTGTGTGTAAATTTCAACAAAATACCTCATTACTTTTTAAATCTGTAGGTACATATTACTAAATGTTTTATTTACCTCTCCATGAAATTTACCAATAATTGGTATTGGGAACTGCTTGCCCTCATTTTCGCAGTTTTCAATTCAATTCTTTTGTTTAGTGGCTTCTTGGAGTACTTTTTGGAATTCTCAGTTGGAATTTTAAATTCAAAACTACCTACTTTATCAGCAGCTGTGACCAGTACATTTAAGTTACACTGTTCTATGGCTGTGACTAGCACTGGGACTAGAATATAAACTTTGGAAAGTAAAAGCATGAATGACAAATAAAAAATAAAAGTACCTACATTTAATGGGCGGTTCGCGCGCTTTTTTAGAATCATACTATCATAGATAATATATTAAAAAATGTATTACGTTAGCCTTCACACAATATGGCTAATGGAACCATTATACGTCAATCTTTGAAGAAGAAATATTTTTCTTTAATATACTGTTTGATAAATTAAAAAGTACCTAATAAACGTTAAAAACTACAGTCTACATGTGAGACAAGAAAATTATTTGATGATAATCATATTTATTTATTTAAAAAATATATGTTATTCCCGACTGATTTTCCCCTCAGTAAATTATGTTACTCAAGTAAATCAATTGAGTTCCGCTCTAATGAGAAGTGAGGTGATTGAGTCAAGGCAAACCGTTAGATGAATTTTGGAGAACCGGTACGCGTTTTCTTAAAATATTAATAATATTTACAGTTATTTCGGGTAACTTTGAACAGTTTTTTTGACATAATAAGTCTAAAATATCGAGACATACGGGTACCAGGTATAGTCCACGGAAGATAAATGATATAAAATGAAATAAACCATATAAATTAGACTTATCACAAGTGCTTTGAATCGTCAATTTAATGAAAACGTCAGTGTAACAATATTTTAATTTTTCCAACAGGGATCTATTCTGAAGCCTTTGAAGAATAGCTCCAAGAAAGGAAAAAACCCTCTTTATAGTTTTAAAATTATCACACTTGCAATGTTCATGTCCAAGCATAAAATATTATTGTCCCGGCCAAAATCCAGAAAGCCCCTGAATTTTTCATTTCTTAAATTTTATATTTGTTAAAATATTTTTTGTCCGAAGTAGGCGTGGTTTGCGCAAGCCAGAGCAGCCGTTTTAGGCCGTATTTTAATCCCTCTGAAAAAATTATAGGGGAAAGGGGGGTACACTGGATCACTATTTTTCATACGTAGCTTACCTATATAAATAAACTATAAATTACCAATATTTATAACTTGATCAATGCGATGTTATGTTGGGTATAGAAATCTAATTCAACTTCAGCAATAACATTAAAAATTTTCTGAAAGCAAAGGTTTTTTTTTAAAAAGTGGGAATTTATTCATTGTACCCCATATATGGGGTACATTGGATCTCCGCATGGAGTACTGTGGATCTTACTGGGGCACAGTGAATCAACACATAAAATCGTCATAAATTTTACTATTGGGTTACAGCAAATCAATCAATACTGTAAAAAAATGTAGATATAAAAATATTTATGAATTATGTGAACACTTTTAATCAACAATATTATAAAGTTATCAATCTCTTATTTATTTTCTTTCAGTCGTAATTAACACATTACTTGTAGTGATATCTTAAAAAACATGCACTTAGTATTTATATTAATAAGTTTAAGTTTAAGTTTTACACACCATAAGACTAATTTCAAAAATAAAAACATATTGCGAAAAGAACTTGAAAAAATTTTTTTACGCAAACTTATGCGAAGAAAATTGAGATTGATCTCATTTATGGACTTGCTGTTGTCGTTTAGTGTTTTCATAACATCCTTCTTCAGAATATATATTTATATTATCAGTATCTTAAACACTTAATTCAGACACAAAAAACTTTTCATTCTCTTTTTATTCTTGTTAGTCATTTCTCTCTCTTTATTTCACTTCAGTCCTTTATTTTTTTTATCCTTCATCTCTAGAATCGAACTGCATAACTTTTTTACTAATGTTTTACTACTTTCATACGGTTATTAATTTTATCATGTGTTGCTCGACATATTCTTTATGCAAAATTTTTTAATCAGTAAAAATCTTATTTACCCCATAATTGGGAGTTAAACGTAGCTTGCCAACGTGTCTTATCGTTTCGCATGGCTATGTAACGTTGCATATGGAATATTTTTCTAGTGTTGCAACTGTTCTAATTTTGTTGCCCTCTAAAACAATAAACATAAACAAATACCAATTTGAGTCTTTCTCTTTCGGTGCTGTGCTATGTTGTTAATCTAAAACACAATAATTATTATTATGCTATTAATAAAGTAGAAATGTAAATTGTTACACACATTCTGTGGCCTTATATCAACTCGAAATTTGGTGTAAGACACAGTGGCTCGCTAATCCACTGTACCCCACATGAAAATGGCTCACTGTTCCCAAAGCACCACTCACAACTGAACAACAGATTACTATAGCTTAAATAATCTATACGAATCAAACAGCTATTTATTTCTGAAGCTTATTAGACTATTGTTTAAGTAATTTAAAGATAGTTATTCAATATTAAACATCTTCGTGAATAAAACACTCGAGTAATAGAAGTGAAAAAATAGATTTCATACTTACGGATAGCCAAATGGCGGTAACACGGACACTGGCGGGGTAGAGATGTAAGTACTAAAGCACGCATTTCATTATTTTGGTACGTGTATACAAAGCACAGGCAAAGAGAAGTAGCCACTGATTCACTGTGTACTACGGCTCACTCTACCCCCCTTTCCCTTAAATATTCGTTCACAATTCCGGGAGTTGCGACTTTTTTTTAGGAATTTTTTTTTAGACTTGAAAAATGTCAATTAGTTATAGAGATATTAGCCAAAACTAACCAGACATTTTTTCTCAGTAATGAGACATTTTCTCGCGGTAAAAAGTATCCTATATGTTGACCCGGATAACCAGCTATCACCATACCAAATTTCATCAAAATCCCTTCAGTGGTTTTTCTGTGATGCGGTAACAGACAGACATACAAAAATTCTAAAAACTATAGATTCGTCCTCTGTATCGATAATAATGTTTATTTCAATAAGATTTTCTAAAAAATATTTAATGTACAGAGTCGGCTTAGTTACAATTTTATTTTATGTATAGATAAATTCCTGAATTTGAAAAAAATACAACTATTCTTGGTTTTGCAAGTTGATACCTTTTTTATCACTTTAATCACAATAATCTGTATAAATATTATGAATGTGAAAGATTTTGAGTATGGATGTTTGTTCTTTCACGCCAAAACGGATTTGGATAAAATTTGGCACAGAGATAGATTATAGTCTGGAATAGCACATAGGCTACTTTTTATCCCAGAAAAATGTACGGGACCCGTGGGATAAGTTTAAGAAGCGAGGGTGAGCCGCAATTAATATTTATAAAAAGTTTGTGTATGTTTGTTGCTCTGCTATGTGTATGTTAAATAACTGCATGGATTTGGATGAAATTTAATATGAATACTGATGTGATCTCAAGTAAAACTTAAACAACTCGATAGTGTTATATATATAATCCAGTTCTGACAAAATCATTAATATTTACATTTCAATTTTTCTTTAAAATAATTTATTTTTATACTAAGCAATATCATTTTGCTGGATCAATAAAAGAGAAAGTTTAAATGAATATGTAGTTATTAACTCTTTACGCTATGATGCCTCGACAGATTTTAATGAAATTTGAAATAGAGATAGGTGAAGACAAAAAAAAACACATTTAATACAAAGTAAGATCTTTATATCTTGTAATGTAACAATAATTTACTTTACTTTATAGACAAAAAATTATAATAAAATAATAATAACATACAAATGGCTACGGTTAATAAACTTGCAATACTGCTGTAATCTCAGGATGAACGGAATAATGAAATGCAGTTATATATCTGTGGTTCAGTCAAACGAAATGTTTTAGAAACGTCCAAAATACAAACAAATGTCATTTGTATTATTTACATTAAATTATATATAAAGAATTTTCGGTAAACTGAAGCACAGATGCTAGTTGTTGCTTATTATTACGTGTTTGGATTTTGTTAAAATATATAATTTTAATTTGCTATGGACTGGCATGCGACTGATGTAGCAAAAACTTTTTTTTAAATAAAATTGTACTCTATGGTTTATGGTATATATACCATTGACATAAGAGATAATTTCTTCTACATCACTCACATTGCGTTACAGTTAAAAATAATTTTATGTATTAACAATAGGTGACAAGTATTTAAATAATGGGTCCGAGCGAATAATGTCTACATTTTTGTACATAAGATTCAGATTCCATTTAAGCGTATTCAGAATTATGGACTGCGGAGAGGGCAACACTAATAAAAATTCCCGCCATATTTTTTCTTTTTTTTCTAATTAAAAAAACATTAAAACGTATAGATCAGACAAAAGCATAATTCAGATCAATCGTAAAATACAGATGTTTCAAAATAATCAGAAATGTCTTTGGTGTATACACATTGAAATATATGACGGGACATAGAAATTATGACCATAAACTATTATACTATACTTAGCCATGTTCTTAAAAATCAATAAAAAAAAAGAAAGATACAAAATAATAATAAAACCTACTTTGTCGCGTCGTGGAACAACCACACTAAGTCTTTTATAAATTAAGTAGGCACATTTAATTAAAATTACACAAATACTGTACATGAAAAAATATCTTTCTATTTATACACGTCAGTCACCGCTCGAGCTGACTCTGACTCGTTCTTAACAACTGTACACAATATACAATTATTTAATTTTATGATGACTCTCAAGACTAAAAAAATAATATAGACGGAGCGTACAGCATACAGCGATTGAAGCCTGTAATTGCATTGGAATATAATACCATTCCTGCCACATTTTAACTTATCATAATAAAAAAAATAAACATCTGTAATTAAAAAAAAACATTAAAATTTATCATGTTATTTGTGCACAATAATCAAAATAATCATTGTAATTCAATTTAATTCTTTATTCTGACTTTAAAGTGTGCCAGTTGAGTAGTTCACTTCACCAATGTCGTGCAGAATGGACAAGACACGGCGAATATTAGGTATTAAACGTTTAAAAAAAAAGTGATATTCACATATTTGATTAAAAAAAATACTTTGACAAATTATTTTGACATTGACAATTTCGTTTAGCTTCATTTGCGGCTGCGTCTATCTTATTAAGTTAGCTTGAGTGATGACTATATATCCAAAAGAACGTCTAGGCGTGTTATCTAAAATAAAGTCTTTGTTATCCCTTAAAGCATACTTCTAAAATTGGAATATCCAAACAGCTCGAAAATCACGTGTCGTCAGCCTAAATAAAACAAAAAAAAAACCGCTAATTCGTAAAAACTTTAGGCCGAAACTTTTCATGACTATCTTAAACCGTCAGTGTGAAAATGGCTTTATCTAAAGGTATAATGGACGAATTATATATTTAAAAACTATGGATATGTAACTTTTGAACTTTTTAATATTTTCTCAAAATCATTAATTTTCAAAGACACTAATCGTACTCTCGTACTCTGGACATTTGGAGGGCAGTGGTTATATTATAACCCGGATGTCGCGTCCATTTCTACACTGACGTAATATAACCTACACACACACAGTTAAGCTAGATTTGAGCACCTCGTGGTGTTTGCAAGCAGTCTCAACGCACTCAATAAAAGCGATCTTCAATCAATTCCTCGATTACCTAATTAATAAGTCATAAGAACTGACGTTTTAAAATTGGACTCTATTACCCCGCGTTAAGTAGACAATTACCGGTTAAAACTGTTTTAAATGCTTTTAAAATTTGGCACTTATCATCACTAGTGCTGTACCAATTATTATAAGCTCAAATCGCGCGCGAATCCTTCCTCGAAGCTTTTTTTTTATTCAGAATGAACTACGTAAATCAATGAGTAGAATAAACAGCCTAAAAATATATAGAAGTACATATAGCATTAATTTTATAGCTAATGATATATTTAGATATAGATGAATAGTTTAAAAATATTTTATCGAGTTTCAATTTAAAATCTATAGATTTTTATAGATAGAAATAGAGAAATCTATTAAGATATGTAATATGTCCATTGTATACACAATAAACCTGAATCGCGTAGTCCATTCTTTGCCGCCAAATTTTGACAGTGACAATCGGTTTTTTTTATTTACAACAATACGCATCACAAGGCCGTTTCTAAAATGTTTATATAATACGCTCATTCTCTTGGTATTACAAAAAATAGCTATTATATAAAAAATATCAATATTGCAATATCTCGATCTCATTAGCTTTGTTTAAGTGAGGTTCATTTTTTTAAATAAATAAAATGAATCAGCGCTATTCATAATGGCTGGAAGTTAGGCTAGTTCTAGATGAATGTAGGGTAGAGCTGTGCTGTGGCATGCTGGACGTGGGTGGCGGGAGGCGGGCATTAGCCGCTAACCTCTCTTGTTCCTCCAATTGGGCTGCAAACTCATCTTCCAAAGCCTGCGACCATATACAGATTAAAATAATTTTTGCACGACAAAACTAGTTAACCAGCAAATCGATAGGCTGTATTGACGTACGCCTTTGTCTATATCAAAACAATATAAATTGAAAAATAAAGTCTTATTTTCATTCTAATTATTCTAATAAAGTGGAATTAAAATAAATATTCAAGCAAAATATACAGTCCATGCAAATATACAAAACGGTACCACATACCATGCTGGTCCATCGACGCAGATCTGGTCCATGTTAGGTCCACCTCACCTAATTAGTTACCATGCTTGCACAGGCGATTTAAATAACGTAAATAATGAAGGAAAGTGGCCATTATATTATTATTTTTAATAATTTAGTACAAAGCTTAAAGATTTTGTAATAGAGACTATGTAAAAGGCATACTATAAAAAAATGCTATTATCGAAATTCTAAAATACCAAGCAAATTATTTAATACATATCTTTATATAAAATTATTTAATTAAATAAACTAATTTTCAATATGATTTTTAAACTTATTTCAGAATTCAAATATAATTTACAACAAACAAATAACCAAATCTGATTTTTTTATGTAAAAAGAGAAAATTGTTTGTAAAAAGAGGTTATTGCTATTTACAGACGAACACCACCACCAAAGAAATAAAGCAAATATTTATAAACATAACGTCTTTATTTACATAGTTATATTAACCATGGTAAGCTATTCCAGTCGGTATTTCTGAGCGCTTAAGCTTCAAAATACTTAAAGAATGTTAATTATACAGGCAGGAAGATTACTATAATGTGGCTTGATATATTTTATGGACCACTTATTGTCCCTTAATTAAATAATCTAAAAAAGACAAACGCTTTTATTAAAAAGTAACAATAATTAAAATATAGTCATTAAAAATACAAGTGATTGGACCGAAAATGGTCCAGAACCAGTCAAATATTTCTAGTGACAATGTAACAATACGTACATAATTTAACTTGTGACTACGTTTTTCTTATAGTATGGTTAACATAAAAAAAACTAGGGGCGTTTGGAAAACAAAATGCAACCAATGGAACCTTGATTTATAAATTTTGACCATTAACTTAAATTCAATAAACATCGTCTTTTTAAAAACAAACATTTTAAAGAATAATTTGGTAACTTGTAATGACATTTAATGTTACCAACATCACATTTATTCGGCAAGTGGCACAGGTTTCAAATTATTAACCCTAAAGCTAGAAAAATATATATTTTTATATAAAAAAAATATATTTAATGGCGTTGTAAAATTTTTAGTATACCTTACAAAATATTCAATAAATTGCAATTTGTACATAAAGTTATCTACAGAGTAAAAACATGCATTTTAAAAATTAAAGAGTACAGATAAAATATGAAATAGATAACACATGATTTGTAAGACATACCTAAATTTAAAAAATTAAGCGAATATTTTAATTTACGCTTTTTTTCTTAATTCTACCAAAACGTTTGTCTTTAAATAACCAGCTGTTAATATGTTTATTTATTACTTAAACCGCAGTTACTTAAAACAGAATTTCCGAAAATAGATTTTAGTTCGAAAACATTTTTTTTTTAATTTTAGATTAATTTTAATATTTTTAAAACTCTCTCACGTCTACGATACACTGGTTGATTACAGATTAAAAATAAAAAAAAAATATAATTGCAATAATACAATAATCACTATTTTAAATAGTTTTAAATAAAAAAAAGGAATGTAAATGCCTCGATAAATTGTCTAAAATGATAATTATGATACAATCTAATATCGAAGGCATCAATTAATTTCTTTAAACTCTAAATTATTATTAGACAAATGTTTTTAACATTAATATAGTAATATTCAACGCTAATACAAATAATTTATAATATATAATTTATTTGGTACACTAGGTTTAGGCACATTGAATTTTTTTAAATATCTATCCATCGATAAGCTTTTTCGCATCTAATAAATCTCTTTAGAAATGTCTTTTTCATTGGACCATAAAACTCCTAAAAGCGATATTTACTTGTAAAACTTACAAATATAAAATTATATTTAGAAGTTATAATATAGGACGTTTGGAAGGATTTATGAGCAGCAATATTTATCTATGAACATGAACGGGAATAACTAGTAGTAGTGGATATAGTACTTTTTTTAATTTATTTGAAGAAGCTTTAACATCAACTTTGGCAAGATTTAAACTTAAAAATATTTATTAAAATCTGAACTTTTAATAAAAATTGGTGTAACTTTGAATGTTTTAATACGAACATGAAAAAACAACTCAATAACGAACGTTGTATTGTATACTAATTAATAAAAAGCCTTTATTTTACGACGTAAATCGTTCCTGAACGTAAATAACGTAAATTTTAGTCGAAGTTTTATGTATGTAGTGTATTTTAAACTAAAAAAAATTTTTTTATCCTCGTGATAGTCTAATTTTAACATGTATTTTCAAAGCGCGTAAATACAATAATTGATTAAAATTCAAAAACGCTCTCACATCTAAAGGAACAATTAAATTTCAATTACCACTAGCGATTACTGCTAATTATGAAAGGCAGTTGGTAGGAATGTGATGGCGTTTCTAAAGCTTTCTGAAAACGTAATTTTTTTTTTGTAAATGGAAGCAAGTTAAAGTCTACTTGTAGCAAAATCATATATTTTATATGGAACGCCGCCCTCTTTGCCCTTAATTTAATTGACTAAAACGTCGTAATTAGGAGTAAGAAGTATATTATGAGGCTGTCAGCGCCAAAGTGGTCTAACCGCAAAATATTTCTTATAGAAAACTCGAGATATTGTATTTCATTGTAATCATACCATTAGTATTAATTCAATTATATGCAAATAAAAAAAAATCACCAACCATGTCATAAAATACCCATTAAAATCCTCATTTTCCAACATCAAGTTTCAGCTTTAACACCATATTAGACGCTGATGACCTATAAACATTATTTTAAAACATGTATAATGGCATGTATAATTCGATCTATTTCAAACTATAGAGTCCGGTGGTTCCTTAGACTTATCTGTTGCTATTTCCTTCAAATTCAATGTGGACAACTGGCTCACTGGAACGTTTGGCGTGTTGGAGTAGCTGTTCGACCCTCTGACCGCTCCCCATCTGCTGAAGGTTTTCTCCTCATCACTGCCAGTGCTGGTACCACTCCTTATCGTACTGGTACCACTTTTGTACGTGTCATATTTCCCTTCTAGCGAAGGCATGTCTATCATTACAGCCTCCATAGCTATATCCTGCTTTAGACTCTGTTGGGATATACTTCTCTTCATCGTCGGTTCTTCGTTTATTTGCTTGAACATGTGTTCGCTGAGACTTTGTCTGTTTATCTTTTTGCTATTTCTCATTGAAATCGGCATTCGTTCCACTGGTTTTGATCTCTCGAAGGTTTTCTTTGGCTCTTCGTCTATTTTCTGGACAGTCTCTATCGGCACTTCTCCATACGCCATGATGGGAGATCCGTTGAAGACCGAGAATCCGGAAATCTTTTCGGAAACCAATTTGAGATTGGACGTCGATCCGTATCTTTGGGCTTTAGTTAGTTTGCCGCGTTTCGTTGTGTTGGTAGCGCTGGACGCGGCTGATTTCGTTTGCCGGAAGTCTGCATTGGGACTTATACTCCTTCGTCTGTCCATATTTGGTGTATTGTTTGTGGACATGACAAGGTTTAAGCTAGTCCTGGACCTGGATAGGGATCCTATGAAGGATGTGCGATGGTGGTACGCAGAAAGCACGTGTTGCAGTACATTTTTGGGCCAAGGGACGTCTAAGTACACGCGCCTATCAGGTATTGCTATCCCATACTTGCTTTCGTGATCGTCCAACTGTTTCTCGAACATCTCAATGAGTTTCTGTTGAAAATGTTTCGTTTTAGTGCAGCGATGGGAGTGGGACGTCACAAACATACATTCCTCCTTGTGATTTTACCTGAACCCCTAAAATTTGGTGCTTTCCAACGAAATATTATGGAAATTGTTAAGCAAATTATTTGGTCTGTGCTCTGTGGTTAAGATGATTATAATAATAATTTGCCCTTGTAAAATATTTTTACATGTACCCATCACCGTTTAGTATTCAAAGCGGTTCCACCATGCTCATGCCCAGACCACATTTACATGCCATGCTAATATATTGAAATATAACTATTTTAAGCGTTATTAGCAATTTATTTACGTTATTTAAAACTTTGAATTCTTTTAGATAAATCCTAATAATTTAAGGGATATTTATTGTATAAAGTAGTTTATGATTTTTTTTATACAAACATAGACAATAAATGATTAAAGAAATTTGTTCTTATTTCATCAATAAATTCTAAGTTATTCTACACATAATATAAAGTTTGAATTAAACATTAAATTATAATAATTGCAGTAAAGATACAAAATAGTTATATTTCTGCATAAAACATAACACTAAAATGTCAAACATTTTATGCAAAGTCCACATATTCCTTGTATGAGTTACTTTTAATATCGTGTGCTGAGTGTACTTGTGTATGTACGTATATGTAAGTATGATTCTTAAGCAAAAATATATTGATTTATGAAAGACACATAAAATTTATGTGCAGTTTAACTCTGGTTTTAGATTAAATTTAATTTTAATAATATTAAATCCTCCTAATATTTTGGAAAGCATTTTTTATAAATCCGTTCAATTTGTACGACTGTCTGTTTTCGGCACTAGATGGCGCTGCTTCCACTACGTACAAATTCTCGTAAACGCTAACGCGATCGAACACGTACTAAAGCTCTCACTAGGCACACTGAATAAAGTGACTAATCTTTGTGCCTTTAGTGTTAAAGAATGTGAGTGCTAAATGTTCGTTTCGTTTTTACAAAAGTATGTATATGAAATGAAATTTATTTATTAAGAAATAATTCTTATACATACAAGAAAACAATAGCTACGATGATACTTCAAAAGTATGATGTGATAGATAGTGTGTGTGTGTGTGTGTGTGTGTTTGTGTGGGTGTGTGTGTTTGGTGGGTGTGTGTGTGCGGTGTGTCAGCTCACCGTCTTCCTGTCGGCGAGTCCTGCGCGCCACTCCTTGAGCTCGGCGGCGTACCTCTCCTCGATGGCCTTCATCTTGCCGCTCTCATGGTTCATGAGCGCCTTGCGCTTCTCGTTCTGGTACTGCTCCAGCTCGCGGAGCAGAGCCTGGGCAGGGGAGAGTGGGGAAGAGATGCTTATTATCGGTGAACAGGATTTGTTTTATATTAGATTTTTTTTCTTAAGTAGTGGATCTCTCTGTGCTACTATATAAATTAAACAAAATTTGGCGATATGCAATAAATTCCAATAGCCTATCCATCTGTCGTTTGCCTTACTAGAGATAGACATTTGACATAAGTTTCAAAAAATAATAATTCCAGTAGCTTTCGGGATATAAATATCTCAATCTAGATAGGCCAAAAAAAAACTAACTGACACAGTATCTCAGAATAATATGTAAGGAGTGGTAGTTCATAAGTAACATACTACCTCGAGAAACCAAATGACGCAGACTCAAATCTCAAGTCTCGCACCTGCGATATTTTCATGTGTGAATCATTTCCAGCATGATTACCACTTGCCTTAAACCCATCGCGAGGAAACCTGCATATCTGAGAGAACCTGGCAAGTTGTCGAAAGACATGATCAGTCTGTCCGCACTCGGCCAGCGTGGTGGACTATGGCCTGATCTCCTTCGCACTGAAGGGATGCTCGTGTCCAGCAGTGGATTGTTAAAAAATTGAGGATTGAGTAAATATAGGGCATGTATACTAGTATATACAAGTTTATGTATGTACCTCCCCGGCGGCCTTGAGCTCCTCGCGCGCCTTGGCGTGCTTGGTGGCGAGGCGCTGCTGCTCTGCGCGGTAGCGACGCTTCTCGTTCTCTTGGAACTGCACATGATAAAACAACAAATAATAAAATTATATATTACAAATTATATAAAGTGTGTTTGTATATCTGTTACTCCTATACTACACAGATAGACTAACAACAAGGCCTTGATTAGCATACTGGCGACTGTTTGTAATAAAAATTGCCAAAAGGTGGCGCATAGGTAAGGTATAAATACAAAATATAATACCTATATTCTTTTAATAACATACAAACGGAAAAAAAACTATTGACCGTTTTTTATTATTGAGGCACATTTAAAGTTATAAATGGAAAAGTTTGTTGCATTTTCTCCGTAACAGCTCAACATATTCCAATGAAATTACACTTATAAACAAAACTAACTTTTTCATCTACGTTTTTATTTAGGGACTTTTCTTTTAGGTAATGTCAGTCCCATTAGATTCAATATCTCCAAATCGATGTTGCAAAATCATATCTACAAAAGTTTTAACAACATCAACAAAAACTAACTCTTCTTCAACAGAAGAAAGAAGTTTAGAATAAAAAGATGATACAAGAAGAGTCCTTCAAAAGCAGAAGAAGAAGCATACCTTCTTCAGTCTCTCTCTATCATCCTCGTGCGGGAGAGTCGCGGAGAGCGTGGGCGCGGCGCCGATGCGGAGAGACTCCCGGAACATCATTTCCCTGGCCTTCTGCTCGGCGCGGATACGCTTGGGCAGGGAGCGCTTCTCTAGCGCTTGGCACTTCGCTAGTTCCTCTTCTTTGCGGCTGTTCTTTCTGTGGGATAGCGTTAAGAATTTAATGTTATATATTATAGGTTTCAGTGTTACTTTTATTTAGAAAATACTTAAATTTACTCAAATATTTGTAATTTTAAAACGAAATCATGAATATCTTTTCGGATTTTGTCGAGGTATTATATATTGTGGCTCCCACGTTTTGAATGCTTTACAGCAAACTTGTTCATGGGAAATCCGAGATAAAATCCGAAAAAAGACATTTTAAATAGTTTTTTTTAGGTTTTTAGACTTTCATTTTTTATTAATATGTATAAATAATGAATCCATTTTTAAGCTTCCACAAATTGGACAAACTGAGAATAAAAAAAAGGCAAAAAAAGTACCTTAATATATTTGCAATATTCTTAATTTAATCTGTCTTATTATTATCTTTTACTGTAGTGAAACTTTAATAAAAATATAATGCAATTTTAATATTATTTTATATTATTATTTACATAAAGAACCTGTGCCGTGTGCACATATACTTATTTGGTTGTATCCATATTTGGGAACAAAATTGAGTCACAAAGATGTTTTTCAATTTTACAAAAGTATTCAGTCGTTCTACAGCACTTGTATTAAAGAGACATATGTATATCTGGATTCGTAGTTTATTCAAATATATACATATATAATATTAAAGTAAAATACCGACAGTAAGGTATAAACCCAACAGCCACACCCACCGTTTGATCTGCTCCAGCTCTTTGTCGTGGCGCACCAACATCTGGTGCCTGCGCAGGAGGAACTCCTCCTTGAGCTGTCTCTTGGCGAGCTGGTGGCGTTCGTGTATCTGTTTCTCCTCTAGCTCCCACAGCGCTGCTTCGCGAGTTCGCATTATCTGTCATATAACTTATGTATATTATATGTATGTGAAAAAAAAAAACAATCTATCCCACGGGATACATCCCCGTACATTTTTCCAAGATAAAAAGTAACCATGTGTTATTCTGATGTATGAGTTATATAATATTTGTAAAGTTTCATTAAAATCCATTCAGTAGTTTTTGCGTGAAAGTGTAACAAACATCCATACACCCATACATCTAGACATTCATGTATCTTAACAAACTTTTGCATTTATAATATTAGTATATTTGTGTGGTTTACATTTGTTACTAATAAATGGAGTTATGTGTCAGTTGAATCACACTACTGTTTGTTACTTTCTGATTAGAGATAAGTTAAATGTAGCATAATGTTTTTGGCACTTTTGAGAAATATATACAGTTGGGACATTAACACACAGCACCATCTAGTTCCATGGTAAGCTACGAGGCTTGTGTTATGGATACCAGATAGTTGATACACTACACATAATATATAACTTTATTTACATACATATTATAAATATAAACACCCATGACTGTAGTACAAACATTCGTGCTTATCACACAGATAAATACCCCCAAGCGGGACTCGAAACCGCGACTGCTGACACAGCAAGTACGCGGGTCGACACCGGCAGGAGACGAAGTGTACCTGGTGCCGCTGCTGCAGGTACTGGCGGTCGGCCAGCGCCTGCCGCTCGCGGTGCTTGTCGTGCACGCGGCGCAGCACGGCGTCGCCCGCGTCCGCCAGCGCCGCAACGAAGGCGCGCTCGCGCGCCGCGTGCTCGGCGTCCAGGCGCGCGCGCGCCACCCGGTACGCCTCCTTGCGCCGATCCTGCACAAGACACCACGTTCAGGTTCACGGTTGACATATGGGGAAAAAGTGTGCTGTGTCCTGACGGCACACATTTTCTTGAACCCAGTTATTAAATATCGTTTTGTCAAAATAAATATAGTTTCTTAAAACTTGAAATACAATAAAAAAAATTCTCCATTTATACCAATATATAAAGACGATTTTTTTTGTTTGTTTGTACCGAATAAGCTTCGAAACTACTGAACCGATTTAAATAGAATTTGGTAACAAGATGATTTAAGACCCTAGGAAGGATATAGGGTATTTTTTATTCCGAAAATCATCCCTTAAAAGGTTTCAAATAATAATGAAAGTTTGTATGGGGAATTAATTAATTGTATGGGGAATTATCCTATCCCGATCGAAGCGAGGATGAGTCGCTAAGGCTGATACAAAGTTACTTGAAATAAACAATTTGACTCGACACAAATGACTACTCAAAGGCCGGCAACGGCAACATAAGCAATATGTTACCTTGGCGACGAGCTCCACCTCCTGCTTGAGCAGCCGCAGCTCCTGCTTGAGCGTGTCGCGGAAGTGCCGCAGATCGCGCTCGTGGTCGGCGCGCAGGCGCTTGGCGTGCTGGCGCAGCTCGGCCTCCAGCTGCTGCTCGGCGCGCTCGGCGGCGCCGCGCTGCGCGCGCGCCAGCGTGTCCAGGTCCGCCTCGTGCGCGCGCGCCAGCGACGCCAGCTCCGCCTCGAACCTGACACACATCGTATATCACTTTAATTACAACTATATTAGTATCGCAAATCGCATTTATTTCATATTTAATATAATACTCAATTTCATTTTAATTATCACTACATATAATATAAGAGAACGTCTAAATTTATTCAATCTATAGTTTTATTAATAAAACTATCCTTTTATCTGTCATTTATATATCTAACTACGGTTTAGATGTTAACCTCAGTCTCTGCCGTTACCATGATTGCTGTAAAGCATACGAAATAACGGGAACAAAAGTATAAAATAAACCTGCAAAAAATCCGAAAAAAAAAACAAGTTTCATTTAAAAATGATCACTATATGCATCACTTTCAAATAAATAATACGTTACAAGAAACCGAAAGTACTTAAAAAAACATTTAATTTGCTTTAATATTTTAAATGTTATTATCAAAATTAATAAATCTCCGTGACCAATAAAAATGTATATAAGTATCCATCATAGTATATGTATGAACAAACTATATTCGCTCGCACCTCTTATCCTGCTGGTCGCGCAGCTGCTGCTCCTTCGCGTTGAGGTCCTGGAACTGCTTCTGCTCCTGCTTCTGCAGCATCTTGATCTCGCGCAGCTCCTGCTTGCGCAGCGCGTGGTCGTCCCACGTGCGCCCGCTCTCCTCGTCGCCCCAGATCACCTGTCGCGACACACACACATATAGATACAACGACAGGTGGCACTTACACATACATTAAAAATAAAGTAACTGATAACATGGTACATTTAACTTTAACTTAAAATTTATCTCAAAGATATTATAGATATATCCATTAAACAACCATTTTTTAACTTTTGTGTAGAATTAAATATAATAAAAACTAGCGATTCATTTGAGTGTAGAGTAGTTGTTCCACCGCAGTATGAGAGTGACAGGAATAGAGAGTGCACTTGTGTCTGCACTATACTATATAATATCTCCTGCAGTAAGTTCAGTAGTCTCAGTGAGATTGGCCGTCGTGGCCGAAACCTGTCAGGATAACATTATACATATATACATTATATACCTTCGAGGTCGTAGTGGTAACAATGACGCCATCGATCTCGAATTTTCTCGTACGTTTTCGCGTCTTCTTTTTCAGATTTGCTAAATGAATATCTTCTTTGGATCTGTGACATAAAAAATACATTATTTATATACATACGAACCTCTTACTTTGTAAGGGCTATATACCTAATATACTTAGTAATATCATAGAGAATCTATTCAGTGATATCTAAAATTTAAGACATTAATGTATAGACCTAGACATCACACGTATATTCATTAATTGTTATGAGTGTCGTTGATAAAATATTAGTAGATAATTTTGAAATTTTGACAAACATAGTTTTTCACATTGAGAAGGTTCATACCATCATCCATTTTGCTGTAACTCGCCACTAAATGGTGTTGCTGTACATTAACTTCTACACAGTTCAATCGATGTTGAGGAAAATTGTCACTTATAGCTATTTGACTAGGAACAATATTTTCATGTCATCTATTTACTGCTAAATTAAATAAAAAAAAGTAAAAGGAAAGGTACTGCAAATTCAAAGAAAAACGTTGAACTAGCGTTTTTCTTCAGTGACTTGGATAATAAATAAATATGTCAGGACATTACACACAACATCATCTAGTTCCATGATAAATTATTTATTTAATATGAGGCTTGTGTTATGGATACCAGATAGTTGATACATTATATATATATCACTTTAAATAAATACATATTATAAATATAAACACCCATGACTGGAGTACAAACATTCGTGTTCATCACACAAATGAATGCTCCCAGCGGGACTCGAACCCACGACCGCTGGCGCAGCAAGTAGGGTCACTACAAACTGAGCCAAACGTGTCGTCATAGAAAGAGTACTTCCCACTGGGTTCCTTTATCAGATATTTATAAATTCGAACAACAATCATTGTGAAATAAGTAAGATCGTTGTTTTACAATAATCTTTATATATTGAAAATAAACAACAAACCGTTGTATTCTGTTAGGCTGTCCGTCTTGCGGCTTTCTCCTCAGCACAACTTCTTCTGTGTCCAGGGCTTGATTTTCCGAATTTCTATAAATGAAATTTTGTATTAGTTTACTTATATTATAGACATATAAATAATATAATAACAATAATATAAAATTACTAGCATTGCCCGCGGCTCCGCCCGCGTTCAGATGACCAAAAACTAAATTCTTAGGTGTTACATATTAGTATACTCTTACATTGCAGTTTTTGTATTTTTCCTCAGAAATAAGATATTTTCCCGCGGTAAAAAGTATCCTAGGATCGCGCGCTACATCGCCCGGTTTATATAGCTTGAGCAGGCGGTCGAGCGATGCGGGGCAGAGGGGATGGACTCGCCGTAGGCATCTCAATGCTCGCCAAGCATTAAAAATGTTTCGCTACTAATTACTTCTAACAACGATATCTCAAAAACTATTCATCTGATTGATTTAGTGTAAAGAGCAATTTTAATCTGCATTAAATGACTAAGCTAACTAAAATATTCATTTGGATAAGGATTAATACCGAACTAAAGAAAATAACTTTGAAAATAACGTAATGTTTTTAATTAAAAATGTTAACATAAAAGTGGTTATTGTAAGTCAACCGTAAGAGATAGAGATATGCTATCGCGGACTTTTTTGTAGCATTTTTATAGATTTTGAATTCTCTAGTACATTACTTAACTGTATCTTTGCTAGTTTACGCGGCGTTCGCGTGGAAAGTTCCCATTTGGCGAGATTTTTTGCGACCTCTTCAACATTTGTCGCCGTATTTCAGCTAATTTACATAAAAGCATAATAAATTATATACCTAAACCTTCCTCAAGAATTACTCTTTCTATTGTTGAAAACCGTATAAAAATCCGTTCAGTAGTTTTCGAGTTTATCGCGTACAGACAGACAGGAGGACAGACAGGAGGACAGAAAGACGCGGCCGGGGGACTTATTTTTATAATAAGTATAGATTTATACATAAAGCACAACAAATCTATCCCACGGGAACCATACATTTTTCCGGGATAAAAAGTAGCCTATGTATTATTCTGATGTATGAGGTATAATATTGTAAAGTTACATTAAAATCCATTCAGTAGTTTTTTTTATTATTGCTTACAACCAGTACCTGTACCAGACAGTATATTTTTTGCCTAATGAAACGAAATGGGACCAGTGTTAGTCTAACTTGTACACCGAGGGTTCCGCAGCATGAAAATTGAAAATAAATTTTTAATCGCAAAAAAATATTATGTAACTATAATACATTGCTTCTCGCCACATTTCATAATTATAGGTCAACGGAAAATACGCTATAGATTTTGATTCACTTGCGAGTGTCATAAGCCGCCATATCTTTTCATAGCGTTGACTTAGAAATTTATTTACAGCTCCAAGCGATTTCAGAACTACGTATTTGTCATTAATTTCAACTTGGTAGCTCCATACGTCCCTGAGAAAAAGGGTTTTGATAGACAGACAAACAACGAAGTGATCCCATAAGGATTCCTTTTTTCCTTTTAAGGTACGGAACCCTAAAAAAAAAAGAAAAAAAAATCAAGCGAACCCACCTCGCAGCGCCGTTCACCAAGTGGTGCTCGTCGGCGGACACGGCGGAGGCGGCGGACACGGCAGAAGCGGCGGACGTGGCCAGCGAATCCGCGTCGCCGCGCCGCGACCGCTCCGACGCCACCGACCCGCTGTCCGACTGCGATCTGCCGCTGAAATTGTTAAATACATACTAATATTATAAATGCGATAGTAACTCTACATGTCCTTTCCTTTTCACCTTTTCACGCTTAATGCGCTGAACCGATTTACATGAAATTTGGTATGGAGACAGTTTGACGTCCTGGAAAGGACATAGGATAGTTTTTGTCCCGGAAATCATCCTTTAAGGGGTTGAAAGATTGTATGGGGAATCAATCATTTCATAATAGTCTATCTATTCCTTACTACGCGTCATAATGTACCTAGGGACGAACCCGAGCGAAACGAGGGTGAGTTGCTATCAAAGGTTAAAGAATAAGTAAGTCTGTCACTATTTAAAAATAAATTAAATTATTTAAATATAAAAAAGGAGTCCCACCTCTCGAAGCTGTCGGGGCTGAGGCGCGGCTGCGTGTGCGGCGCGGAGCCCGAGTCGCGCACGCGCACCTCCTCGCCCACTGTCACCACCGACACGTGCGACGTGTCCTGAAACACACACGCACATATTACTCGACTGCAGCGCCATCTACCAGCTCCACTTGTGGATCTAAACTATCCAGGGAACCTCACAAACACACACAAAAACAACATCAAAAGCGGTCCAGCCGTTTAGGAGGACTTCAGAGACATACACACATACAAAAGGATTCTATACATACAAAGATTTCTTCTATATCATATTACTATTTACTATATACATATTGTTATTTACTATTTTTCTGCGTAGTTCCACTAACATACTATATACATCGATTAATAAAATTTTCGATGTAATGATGTAAATATCAATTATATTTTAAATTTACCTCAAATCGTTAGTGACTAAACCTTTAGATTTACTTGCTTTCTTTCTAATTATGGTTGGAATATTTTAAATACTATCATTATTATTTTTTTAGAAATCTCACATACTCGCAATAGAATTTTCTTGGTATCAACATAATAATTACCGTCTGTAAATGGAATTAATAAATAATACAATCTAGATTATAAAGAGGTACAGTTTGTGAGTTTGTGACGTTGTAGGGGGTAACCTCTGGATCTACTGAACCGATTTGGATGAAATTTGGTAAGAAGATTTGGGAAGGACATAGGATATTTTTTATCCCGGAAATCATTTTATCAATTCATGGGCTGAAAATGGGGATGAGAATTTGTATAGGGAATCAAGCTGAGGACGAACCCGAGCGAAGCAAGGCTGAGTCGCTAATAAAAATATATAACTTACCAAATTGAGATGATTGTGTTGGCTGTCATCGAACACGCCCGAGTCGCCCGCGCCGGGGCTCAGGATCAGCACTTCACTGCTGTCAAGTCTTCTGCCTCGACCCTTCTCTGTTGAATTATTATATTTAATGTTAAACAAGAAACATCATGAAAACCAAAATACCGCGGGAAAATTACGATACAACAGTTACACTTATGCCTTAATTATCGAATAGGCTTGTTTGACCACTATACATTTCTTAAAATAAAACATTTAACTAATAAAAAAGACATTTTTTAAATTTTACTGGGGATTCTGACTTTGCAAATGCTTCCAACATTACCGAATGTCATAAACCAAAAAAATAAATTAAAAAAAACCCGCAAAAACCATAAACACGCGCATAAATTTACAAAAGTATATAGCTCTATAAAGCATTCGCAACGTGGACAAAAAAAAGAAAAAAAAATCCGCAAAATCCCAAAAAAAAAACCGGTAACGTATAGTAGATAGTAGAGGCATATTACCGGTGTAGCAGGCGGTGCAGTCGAGCGAGTCGAGCGAGGAGGGCGCGAAGGCGTCGTCGTCGTCGGAGGAGGCGGCGCGCACCACCACCACCTCGTCCATGGGCGGCGTCGTCGAGATCGTCACCGCGTTGTGAGGCAGCTGCGACACAAGCACAACAAACACATATACATACATAAGTTGTATATTATACAAAAAAGTAACATGTTAATTTTTTCAACTTTTTTTATAATTGCAATAATGTAAATATTACAGTAAAAGTTGGATAGAATTCTTGAATGTTTTCAAAGATGACGTAAAAAAATTTTTTTATGCAAACTTTAAAATTTATTTTAAAAATCAGTAGGCCACCTCAATTTTTTTTTAATTCAAAAATTTTTGTTTTTTATAAGCTGCAAATTCTACCCCCAAGCTAAGAAAAAAAAACAAAAAAATATTTTTCGCTCCACCCATACAATGTATATACATAGAGACAAGGTTAGTCACCATTCTAATCCTCACTTTATGGTATTTATTAATTTATTATCTGTGTCTAATGGTCGTTCAATATTCATAGATGTTTAATTTAGTCATTATTTTACATTGATATACAAAAACTCAAGATAATTAGCGTTTCAAAAATGTTCTCAAAAAGAAGCGCACAATTTGAAATTGTGAGCTTTTTTTAAATCTATATTTTCATTGCTTTTCGGATGACAAAATTAAAAGGCACGTTGTTTCGTTCAAATAAATACTTTATGCGGTGTGCGTAAGTTCTAATTTGTGTTTACACATTTAGAACTTTTTAACATGTCGACGCCACTTTTTGAAGAGATATTTCTTAATACTTTCTTAGATTTACGCGAATGTTTGACATTATTAAATAAAACTATCTTTTCGGATTATTTCGCGGATTTATTTTGATTTTTGGTTCCCGACGTTTCGAATGCTTTACAGCATCCATGGTCACGGGAGGAATTTATTATATGTTATAAAAGGAATTTATATTATATTAATAGTGTTGCTTAGTAAGTTGTTTTTAAATAATAGCAAACTAAATTAAAATGATTATCCTTAATTAATTTTAACTTTTTTAAATTACACATAGAACAATTATATGGCTTTAATAATTAATACTATATTTTTATATTTTTATTTATGGTTATAAATATAATAATGGCAACACTAAATATAGATTACTAATTAATATTTTTAAAATTGTAATAATTATAAAAATAATAGCAAAAATTAAATAAATAATTTTCCATATTCAATTATAATTAAAATTATAAAAATGTTTTAAGTTAAAAAAAAAATATTGTAATGTAATTGGTGCAATTTTCATTTTGTTAATTGTGGGTAGGCTGTCTGTAACAACTATATCTTTAAGACATGTAACACCTCAGTCTCTCCCGTGACCATGGATGCTGTAAAGCATTCGAAACGTCGGGAACCAAAAATCAAAATAAATCCGCCAAATAATCCGAAAAGATAGAGATATTTCTTTGGAAATGATATACATTTCCTTTACATACCAATGTAGATTCCCAGTGATTACATACTGTCATTTAATTTAAATATGATCTATAAATTGACGATTCAAAATGCTTGTAAAAATCTATTTAAATAAAGTATATTTACCTGCGCCGCGGTGCTGAGCACGGGCGGGTGCGTGGTGGTGACGGTGACGAGGCCCACGGGCGCGGCCGCCAGCGAGTTGGGCTCGGCCGGCGCGCTCACCGCCACCACCGTCACCGCCGACACCGCCGCGGCCGGCGCCTGCAACCCGACACACACACACACACACACACACACACACACGTTACTTATACAACACCATACAAATACTATTTCATAGTAGATAGGAAATAGCCTATGTGTTAATCTTAGCTAAAAACTAGATTTTCAAAAATGGAAGTCATTCTGAATATCACTCAAGTCTGTTGGCCTGTTACTTAGTCAAGTTACAAATTTACTCACCTAATCAAAATATATTGTGAATTTATATTATATATTTAGAAACAAAATATTCTCCTATTTCACATTTTCCTTTTTAGCATATTTATTTTATTAAAATTTACTAAAAAAAAATTGCCTACATTAATAGTTTCAATAGCTTTTGAAAACATGCTTTAAAAAAAAAACTTTACAAATATTAAGTAAATCAAATATTGAACTGAATTAAAAGAATAATATTATGTACCTCACAGAAAAAATTGTTATTTTTATTATTTTAAATATATTTAAAAAATAACAAAAATATATTTAAAAAAGAACTCACCGGTACAGGTCGTATCTCCACTTGTCTCACACCACTCTCTTCTATGGAGCTCGATCTCGAATAGTCCTTACTCACTCTATCTCTCTTCACTTCCACACTATATCTGTCCTTGTCGTCCACCGACCTGGACCTAGATTCGATACGACTCACTTCAGCACTCACTCTCTTGTTCTCACATATCTCTGTTGAACTCGATCTGGACCGTTCTTTTTTGTCATTTTTTATAATATCTGTTATAGCGCGATTTTCTGGCTTGACTTCATTACTTATTTCTATACTAGATTTACTTATATCTGTAGTTTGCATTTTAACTTGTTCATTTAGACGCACGTCATCTGCACTCTTGCGTACTTCCACTTTAGATTTATTATCAGTACTTATTTTATCAATTTTTTGTTCTACACTGATTTGCTTAACATCAGCAGTTTTAACATCGACAATTGGCTTGACGTCGACCACTTTGTTATCTTTGTTAATTTCCAGATTAGATTTTTTAACATCTTTGTTAATCTCTAGACTTGATTTTTTAACATCTGTGGTGACATCGTTGATTTCCAAGCTCGATCGTTTAATTTCTATGACTTTGTTAACTTCTTTGTTAGATTTGTTAACGTCTGGACTCGTTTTGTTAACATCTGAGCTTGTTTTGTTAACTTTTGGACTAGTTTTGTTAACTTCGCTCAGTTTGTCATCAATGGTCGTCCCATTGACCGTTCTGTTCTCATTCGTGGATTCAGGAGTGGCTAATCTATCAGGCTTTGGTTTAACATCTTTATCATCATTAACTTCCTTTATTTCTGTTTTATCCGATTTTTCTTCTACCACTTTTTCTGCTTCGCGGCAAACCTGTGCAATGGTGATAAGTTAGTATTATGCACATAATATAAAATAATATTTTCAGACATTTTTCGTTACGAAAAGAACACCTATCAAAACATCAATAACTACTAAAAGTACATATAATTTCTAATTGATAACCAGTACTTTTTATATAAGAAAGTATTATGTGAACCAGTACTTTTGTGTTTGTGTTACATATATAATTTATTATTGTGTATTTTATAAAAAATGCCGATGATAATTATTATTATTGCAATTTCAAAAACTTATTCAGAATATCGTATATTACTACTTATACATAACGGTGCAAATGGCTAAAAAGAGACAGAGATAGTGACTAGTCGCCTCACATGTTCCACTTGGGAAGAAAGAGAGAGCATGACTCTCATTTGCTGTCTCACCTGTTCTACATGGCAAGAAAGGGATAGAAAATTTCGTTTGCCGTCCAACCTGCTTCTCATGGTAAGAAAGAGATAGAACGATTTTCATTCTCAGAGATAAAAAGGCTTCTATCGCCAAATTAAAAAAAATGTTAAAGAACGTTTGTGTGCTAAAGGCTTATTATACAATAAATGATTTTATAGAACATACTACAGGCTACTTCAATTTGATAGAAATATTGTAAATTATAATTTAACTCAAAAAAAAAGATAAGAAGTTAATATTAGTCCCGCTGAGTTTCTTTCGCCAGTTCTTCTCAGGTCTGAGACTTCTTCTTTCCGAACTGGTAGCAGACTCATGACTTTCAGTAAAAAATTGTAAAATAATTTAATTCTGAATAAAATATTTTGAATTTGAATTAGCCGTCTCACCTGTTCCACAATGTGTCCAGCGAGGGCGGAGGGCGTGGCGGCGGGCGGCGTGGGCGGGGGCGGGGCGGGCTGCTTGCGGGCGGCGCGCGCGGCGCCGGCGGGCGGCGCGGGGGAGGGCGGGGACGGCGGGGAGGGCGGCGCGGCGGCGCCGGGGGGAGGGGGCGCGGGGCCTTTCTCTTTCTTTGGTGCCTGCGGAGAGAACGTGTTATGTTTAGTTATCTCTTTTATTAGTATAAAAGTGGACAAATTATTTTATTAACGTGCTAACGTCTTATAAATCGATAAACACCGGCTGCACCGAGCACGCAAGCGAGAGCGTTATTAATAGCACATTGTTACTTATAATTAATCGGTAAATTTAAGTAAAAAAATATTTCAAATAACGAGTGCAAACAAATGTTAATTTATCGAAAAAATTTTAGTTCTTAATTAACCCCTTCTTTGTATTATACAACAATAATAATAATGATAACTCAGTGATAATAATTCAATTCATAAAAATGTGCAATTTTTAATCAATGTTTTTTTATGACGTTATCACGTAAGATTATCGTCCTTATACCGACTTTACAGAAAACCATTTTTTAAGGTGTCCAGAAGATACATAGAAAAATAATTTTGGTACACGTATACGATTCGACATGCACTGACCGGCGGTCTCCTGTCAGCGGGCGCGTCGTCCGGCAGCGCGCGCTTGGCGGGCGCGAGGGCGGGCGCGGAGGCGGCGGCGGGCGCGGGGGCGGGCGGCGCGGCGGGGGCGGGCGAGGCGGCGCGCGGCGAGGGCGGGGCGCGCGCGGCGGGCGCGGGGCTGGGGGTAGCGCCGGGGGTCGGCTCCGCCTCGGACACTGATGATAAAAGAAAAAAATTATATACAGTTTTTCACGGTAATTGCAAATTAATTAAATAATAACTAAAAAGATTATATATCGACTTGTATTTCAATATATTCAAAAACATGATCCTTTGTACAAAACAGTCAAACAAAAGTTGTACAAAGTCGTTCTGACCGAACTCAGTCACGATGTTTATGTCACTGTAAACGTTATATTCTCAACTCGAACCCAGGACCTCATCTTCCACATCAACAATCCAACATTCACCATACAAGCATACCAAGGCAGTCCATTAATGAACATAAAAACACTCACTCTTGATGTCCGGCGTCTCGCCCGACCGCACCGACGTCGAGTCATCTTCCATGTCCACATGCATCTGGGAGCTGCGGTGCTCCTGCACACACGGATAGATAAAAATTAGTCATTATGTATAATAAAAATAAATGTCAAACGTAAAATTAATAAAACATAATTTCATAAAAAAAACAATTCCGGTACCTTCTATTTAAAATAAAAAAAACGCCGTATAGTTAAATTACTACAGTACTAACCAAGCTTTAATAGTGGTACTAAATTAACAAAAAAAAAACATATTTCACAAGTAGCAACACCAATAAATGTAAAGCAAAATAAACGATACAACAATAACCTTATGATATATAATAAAAAACAATTCCAATGGAACAAAAAAATCTTTGATATAATTTCAATCAACTTCTCAATCCAATCCTCGATATATATATATATATATATATATATATATATATATATATATATATATATAACTGTAAAAAAAATACAAACAATTCTCAAATAATACTTTCTTAGATTTACGCGAATATTTGATATTTTAAACAAAATTATTTTTTCGAGTTTTTTCGCGGATTTATTTTGATTTTTGGTTCATTTTTGAAACAAGTTGTAAAATATTTAGTAAACACTGTCTGTTCCTTCGAGACGTCTAATCTAAAACCTTAGTCTCTCCCGCGAAAACGTGCGCTGTAAAGTATTCCAAACGTCGGGAACCAAAAATCAAAATAAATCCGCGAAAAAATCCCAAAAAGATAGTTTTATTTACAATTCTATAATTATTATTTCAAATAGATTAAAAATAAATATAATTCTAAATAAAACATGTCATATAATATAAAATATAATGTACTTTCACAGCACTTGGCAGATACCTTCGACGACGGCGGAGGCTCGCGCGGCTGATTCGGTTCGCAAGCAATGTAACCACACACATACATAACATTAACGTATGGTTACACACAGGTCATCTAATATAATTCTATACTAATATTATATAGAGATATTAAAGAGATAGTTTGTGAGTTTGTGACGTTGTAGGGGGTAATCTACTGAACCGATTTAGATGAAATTTGATAAGAAGATAGTTTGAGACCATGAGAAGGACATAGGATACTTTTTATCCCGGAAATCATCCCTTAAGGGGGTGAAAATGGGGATGACAGTTTGTACGCGGAATCAAGCTAGGGACGAGTCGCTAGTACACACATAATACAATATAATAATATATTATCTAATATAGTATAAATATCTCGTGTCACGGTATTTGTGGCCGCACTCCTCCTAAACGGCTCGACCGATTTTAATGATTTTTTGTATATTTGGTAGGTATGAGTAAAGTATTTTCCACCCTCCATTTATTTTAAGTAACTAGGAGCGAACCCGAGCGAGGGTGAATCGCTAGTCTATACAGATAAATAATATTGAATAAAGTTGACGTGATGTTTGTCGAGCTATTCATCGCTTTTACTATGATTTTTTTACACTTACGTTGGAGAAATTTTAATGCGAATTTTTAATTACAATATTATTGAAACATATAATATGTAATTCATTTTGAATTTGACAATAACATCACTATTTCCTTAATAAATACACAACCTCTGCTTCTTACTTTAACAAGAACATAAAAAAAAACTTGACTCTCAATCACTCAAATCTAACATAAAAATAATATTAAAATCCTCAACCATTTCTTGCTTAAAAAGTTAAAGATACACTTTTGTCTACATTATACAAAAAAAGAAAAAAAAAGTAACAAGAACCTCATTTGACATTACTCCAAATAAAAAAAAAACAAAACCTACTAAAAAAAAAACTAAACCTACTCAAAAAAAAAACAAAACCACACCCGTCGTCTGCAAGCAAGCTATAAATACTAACCAACCCTCTGGTACTGCTCCCTGTTGCGCGCTCGAGCGCGGCGCGCACGCGTCTGCCGCGTCCGAGGGTTAGCGGTAGGCACACACATTACATATAACATATGTATGTACACACGTTACAATATTATATATGTATATAAATATTTATTGTATAAATTATTTTGTTATTCAATAAGTATTATATTCGAATAAAATGTTAGTAGAAAGCATTTTTTTTATATGTTACCGTAAATAGCCCAAACCTAGATGGCAAATTTAACATTTCGTCGTCTTAATGTCAAACGATCAATACTTGTTGTACTTTACAGTAGCAACGTTTGTTCCTCTATTTTAAAAATAAAGCTTTATTTCATTACATATACTAAAGAAATACATTTCTTTATATTTTATTCAAATAAAATGTGTATTTAATACCAATAGAATAGACATTTAAAAGTCAATAAGTCAGTATTAAAAACTCTTTCGGTAAATGGACAAAAAAGCACTGAGGCGACGATTTACTAATTTAATGATTGCTAATAGAATGCAGAAGCCTAATACAGCAATTTTAAAATGAAAATTTGAATTTTTATCATTAAAGCTACACTTATTATAGATGTTTTATAAAAATGAGTAAAAACTATTACAGTAACATATAAATATACAAAAACAATATATTGTTATAGAATTTAGAGCAATTTCAATCTATCTATCTGCAAGTTTCCTTACCAATGGTAGGATTTTGATAATAAAATTTGTATAGAGCTTACATCAAATTTACATGTCTACTTTAGATAGATAAATTATTGAGATCGGCAGATGTTAGTTACTTATAATGTTGTATAAAAGATATATTTAAAAAATTAATATTATAAATAACAATAATTAAAAAAAGCTTATATGTACAACCCACTCACAAAAGATCAGCCGGATATCATGAAACACACAAACGTACCTCAGAATCATCATCTAATAACTCCTCCTCCACAACTTCAGCGCGGTACTCCAGGAGGAGATCCCTGAGAGGTTTGGAGTCCAGGTCTCCGGAGACGAACTCGTGTTTAAGCAGCTCTAATGATGTTGGCCTTTTTTCAGGATCCTGGAATGTAAATGATTTTTTTTAATACATGTTATTTTTTTTTATTATTGCTGTATAGAAGAAATTAAGGTTTTGGTGGTCACTTATAAACTGTCTAATACATCGCGTAACACACGCACCTTAACAAGCGCCTTGGCAATGAAGTCGTTGAACGCCTTCGACCAGCGCGAGGGCGCGTCGAGGGCGGGCGGCTCGCTCTTCTGTATCTTGAGCAGCACGCGCATGGGCGTCATCTCGTGGTTGGGCGGCTCCATCTGCGCGAACTCGATCAGCGTGATGCCCAGCGACCAAATGTCCACCTGCACACATATTATGAATAAACACTAAACAGATTAGTTGATGGCGAACAGATGGCGTTATATGTACGTTTGCGTTAAAAAAAAACAACCATACTATCCGATATTAATATGACAATTATAAATGGCACCGTCTAGTTCCACTGTAAGTTACAAGGCTTGTGTTATAGATACCAGATAGTTGATACACTACACATATATAACTTTAAATATAAACATATTATAAATATAAACACCCATGACTGGAGTACAAACATTCGTACTCATCACACAAATGAATGCTCCCAGCGGGACTCGAACCCGCGACCGCTGTCACAGCAAGTAGGGTTACAACAAACTGAGATAAACGTGTCGGCACAGTAGTCATCCGATGCTAGGTCACAGCGGAGAATCTCACTGACAATAAAAAACTGCATTACAAGCACAAGAGCACTCCATTCTTCATACTCTCAAAGTCCGGTGTAACGATACTTTAACACCTACCTCCTTTGAGAGATTATTCGTAGGACCAAAGCGACACGTGCTCTGTCTCATCATGGAGATTGACATAAAACCCCAATACTAATTAAATAATTTATAATTAACCTAAGCCAGGACTATATATAAAACCATTAAGACAGCTCCTCGATCAAAGAAGTACTAGATACACAATCCCATGCAAAAGTTCTCTTAAAACTGTCACCAATTGTGTTTTATTATTCTAGTTAAAATAAGTATACAACAATGTAAATTGAACCTTAAATACGATGTTTAAAGTGGTTTTCACAAAAAAATAAATAAAAGTGCGCTCAAATGTTCAAATGAGCGCTTACTTGTTGAGAACATTTTTTGTCGCTGATTGTGTATCTGGTACTTTTTTGATCGATCAGACGGCCACACAAACAATAACTAATATAGACCTTAAAATCATAAGGATGGTCTCTGAAGGTCTCGCACAGCACCACCTCGGGCGCCATCCAGTAGGGCGTGCCGATGAACGTGTCGTGCTTCTGCAGAGTTGACTTGTTCTTCGCTGACACGCCGAAGTCCGCTGCCAAAGCAATTAATATCCATACTATAATATTATAAATGTGTAAGTGTGATTGTTTGTTTGTCCTTCTTCCACGTGGAAACGAAGTGATGGATTGGCATGATTTTCTGTGTGGAGATAGTTGGAGGGCTGGAGAGTGACATAAGCTTCTTTTTACCGCAGGGGACTATTTAATTCCCACGGGAAAATACTTTATAATACAATAAAAAAATATTTATGATCAGAATTAGTTGAAACTTGGTATTAATGCTCTTCAATGAAACGATATATGTAAATACGTGTTTTAGCATTTTTCGAAATTTATCCTATAAGGGAGTAAAATAGTGGAAGAAAGTTTGTATCAAACTACTTTTCTAGAGATTTTTTTTGTAGTTATAGCGCGAGCGAAGCCACGGGTACTGGTAGTAATAATATAATACTGTAAAGCATTGGAAGCGTCGAGAATTATTAATTATCAGAATAAAATAGTAAAAATTTTTTAAAAACAATCTTATTATTGTTAGTTATCGGTGAGCGTGTCGGACAGCTTTGATAGCTATCGAAATTTTATCGCTGTAAATTTACTTATGTTATGGGACTATTTGATTTGTAATAATAGTACATTTAATTTTCAATTCAAATTCCTTGTAATGGATTCAAAGCGTTATAACCGAAATGAACCCTATTTGTTGAAACCACAACCACACCGACCATATAAGCTTACTGAGTGGCCATTTACAATCTAATTATCTATCTACACACATACATACCCATATCCATACTAATATTATAAACGTGAAAGTTTGTGAGGATGGATGGATGTTTGTTACTCAAACATACCAAAACGGCTGAATGGATCTGGATGAAATTTGACACATATATAGATTATAGTCTGGAATAGCACATAAGTTACTTTTTATCCCGGAAAAACGTACGTTTCCCGTGGGATAGATTTGTTTTTGTTTTTCACTAGGGAGCCGCTAATTATATATGAAAACACAAAAACCAAGTTCACATACCCAACTTGACCCCCCCAGTCATGGTCGCCAGCACGTTGCCAGCCTTCAGGTCCCTGTGTATGACGCGGCGCGAGTGCAGGAACTGCAGGCCGCGGCACATTTCGCGGCACACGTACGCTATCTGGGCCTCGTTAAGCCCCTTCTCCAGCTCCGACATCACCGAGTCGAGGGCGCCACCGTCGCAATACTCGAGGAGCATCTGGAAAGCGATTATCATCAAATTAGTTTTTTATTAATGGTTATATAATATACTTTTAAGGATTTTATAGTTGTACACTAACGAATCACCCTCGCTACGTTTTAACGTTCAGTATAGATTTCTCAGAGATGAGATTATTTTCCTACAGTAAAAAGTATCCTATATGTTGACCCAGATTACCAGCTATCATCATACTAAATTTCATCAAAATCTTTTGTTGTTTTCCCCTGATGTGTTCCCAGACAGACGGACATAGATTCTAAAAACTATAGATTCGGTCTCTGACTACAACTTACCCACAGCTTGTTATCAATAAAGTACGCCTCGTGGAGCTCGACGACGTTGGGGTGGCGGCACTCGGACAATATGTCTATCTCGACGGTGAAATCCGCCAAGTCGTCCTCGTTGTCGAGCACGCACATCTTGGCGGCGGCGAGCTGGCCCGTCGTTTTGTGCTGCGCTTTGTATACCTGGAGGGGGTGAATGTTGTTTTAAATATTAAAACAGTAATTATAATTACTAGTATTCAGCCCTTTTTAACGTTCCACTGCTGTGCACGGACCTCCCTTTAATACAAGGGGACCGGGGCATAGTCCACCACGCTGGCCGAGTGCGGGTTGGCAATTTATAATTTCTCATTAATTAGAAACGTACATTGATTAACTGTTTTGTTTGTCTATTGCAGATCTGAACTTTTTTTTGAGGTTTCCCGATAAGAAATTTTCAGTAACAGCCTCGAATTAGGGAGTGCAATACCCCTGTGCCTCGATCGCTCGCCTAATCCTCTCGCCAGTAGCGTGTTCTACCAGAGTATGAACGTGACAGGAACAGACAGTGAACGTTGTGTTTGCACGCACATGTATTGCTCTATAATATCTCCTGAGCAGTTTCTTAGTGTCAATGAGTCCGTGTCAGAGGTCAGGATCGGTCAGGAGGACATTATTATTATTGTTTTTTACTACTTTAGACGTCTTTTGTATTAAATTATAGTATGAAAAAGGTAAATAAATTACCTTTCCAAAAGCGCCATCTCCGAGCTCGCCGACCATATCCCAGTTCTCATTGGGATCGGAGTTGTCGCGTATGTTGCTGAAAACTTTTTTCTTTTTGGCGTCATTGCCGCCGCCTAGGTGCAGCACCTATGGAAACAATTCAAAATAAATAAATCAAATAACATAGTAAAACCATAGATAGCACAATACTAAATTAGTACTCATCCCATAAGAAGGAATTGGAAAATGAAAAATGAAAAAAAAAAATGGATACCATCCATAGTTGATACACGTTCTCGTTGATGATGTTGAATGGCGTTAGTCGCCAAACAGTGGAACTATCTTACTTTTTAAATGTGCTATATTTGCTATATTTGCTTATTGCGTTAACATTTATACTAATATTATAAAGAGGTAAAGTTTGTGAGTTTGTGACGTTGTAGGGAGTAATCTCTGGATCTACTGAACCGATTTAGATGAAATTTGGTAAGAAGATAGTTTGAGACCCTGAGAAGGATATAGAGATTTTTATCCCGGAAATCATCCCTTAAGGGGTTGAAAATGGGGATGAAAGTTTGTATGGGGAATCAAGTTAGGGACGAATCCGATCGAAGCAAGGGTGAGTTGTTAGTAACTAAATATAGTCGTATGCCGATTTATTTTTAAAACACTAACAGGCTTCATGTCGATTTTTCAATCGCCGGTTAAATTTTACTCGAGAGATAAGTAGTCCGTTCTCCTTTGCAGTTCAGATAAATATTATGTATTTCAATTTTAAAAAATCATAGAGATGTACCTACTATGTATTCGTCGAGTAACATTTAATCTGGCGATTGAAATTTCGGGCCTTAATAAAATAAAAGTACATAACAATAAAAAAAGTTCGTTTTTATCAAAATATCGATAACGAAATTACTTTCAAGCAAGTCTCATACTTCCTTTAGTTTCAGATTGAGATTTCGTCGTCCATATCAATTTTTAACAATTTCATAATATATATATACACACACACATATATATATATATATATATATATATATATATATACATACATACATACATATATATATTAAGTGAAATATTTAAGCCATCAAATATAATCGAATCTGCTCAAATATTCGCGACCTCGTCAGATCAACTCGCATTCTGGTTATGACTAAAACATTATGCAAGTTAGATGATTTGTTGTACAAAAGCAGGAAACATTTTGTATCTATATTTGGAAAAGCAGTGAAAGGCAATTCAGTTAGAGCAGTCTGGTCGGTGGTGTTGCTAGTCTTCAACATGATAATTTATTATCATTGGTTGGATTTCGCTTTTGTTAAGTAATATGAAGTTCTGCTTAATTTAAAGCGATCTTAAACAAGGGGGGAGAGTAGATGTCATTTTCCAACAATTATTATATATTATACTAGAATTTCCGGCGGCTCCGCCCGCGTTCAGATGACCAAAAACCAAATTCTAGGTTTTAAATATTAGTATACTCTTACAATGTAGTTTTTGTATTTTTTCTCAAAAATGAGATACTTTCCCGCGATAAAACGTATCCTATATGTTGACCCGGATAACCCGCTATCACCATACCAAATTTTATGAAAATCTCTCCACTGGTTTTCCTGTGATGCGGTAATAGACAGACAGACAGACAAAAATTCTAAAAACTATAGATTCAGCCTCTGTATCGATAATAATGTTTATTTCAATAAGATTTTCCAAAAAATATCTAATATACATATTCGGCATGTATAGATTATACTAACAATATATGTATTAGATAAGGCCTCATTTCCGCCACGAATAACAAAAAAAATATGTCATACGATTTGATCTTTTCTTAACTGACTGCATGCTTGATAAGATAATATATTTAAGAAGTCTATAATTAATAATACTTGTGAGACGCCAAACTTTGGTCTAACCAGTAACTGGTCTAACATTTCGTCTAAAATGAGACCTTTTTATTTATATTTCTACTTTTTATATAGAGCGCAGATGGAATACTCGTAATCGTATATTGTTTTAATCGAAATGTCATAGAATTATAATATGCTTAATAGCATATATTTTTAGATTTCTATTCAACGCTACTTGCCTAAGCCCCAAAAATATTAAACATAAATCTTCGGGCAACGTGAGATTATTAATATAGTTTCTACGATAGGCAACGTGGGTTCGATTTTGGACGTCCGTCGTAGTGCATCATAATGGTTACAAAAATAACTTCCCTTTAACTTTTACTCTACTGTCCGAGGGTCATGTGTTAGTAGCGGTTAGATATAGTCTAGGGGTTTTTAATTTTTGATAATAAAAATATGTACATAAATACATACCTTTTTGAGGTTATTGAAGAAAGACATGTCGTCAACGAGCGCGTCGGTGCCGACGCGCAGGGCTCTCAACCGTCTTTACTCATCTTGACGCCACGCCTCTGCTATTTCTGGAAATAAAAAAAAAATGTTTTTTTTTTTTAATTCAATATATAGAAACCGTAATCTCCATCTACCATACAACCTAAAATTTCGTCTGTAAGTCGGGGAAAAACACCTTCTCATTTCATCAGAATCAAAATTGTAGACATCAACGTACTTACTTAAAAATATTTAATTAATAAAATATTACTAACTAGCACTATTATAATTTTATATAATACTAGCGACTCACTCTAATTTCATCAAAATCTGTCCAGTGGTTTTCCGTGATGCGTTCCTGATGATTTCCGGTATAAAAAGTATCCTATGTCCTTCCCAGGGTCTTAAACTATCTTTTTGCCAAATTTCATCTAAATCGATTCAGTAGACCCAGAGATTGTAGACCCCCTACAACGTCACAAACTAACAAACTTTACCTCTTTATAATATTAGTAGGTATAGATGGAGTCACGGAGGAAAACTAGTTTCCAAATAAATTATGACATCGTATCTGCTCTATAAATGCTCTTTTTAATATTATTTATTTACTAAAAACCACCATTTTGTTCTATTCATAATAAAGCCTAAACCTAAATCTAATTAACTTACGATACAGAAATAGCACAACAATCGAAAGAGCTCCTTAATTAGCACTAAATGTACATAAATCGCCCGCTTGCGAGCGACCTTTGACAAGCTTCACCTTGTCCTTGTCCCTGTGACAGCGGCAGCTAATAAATTACACTTTGTCATTTGTATTCTTTTTAAATAGTTCTTTAGCAGGGTTTGGTAGACGGATGGTTGCGGGTTCGAATCCCATGATAGGAAAGTCTTTTTATTACTGTATGTAAGTATAATACTTATATACATTACATAATAGATAAATTATTATCTATCTAGTAGAATAAAAATTGAAATACTGATGTCATGTAAACAGATAAATAAAATTTGAAGTGACTATTTGTAACATCAAAATAACAGTTTTTTACTAAATGCAGATGAAATTATATACAGGGTATATACTTACTTATAAAAAAAACTCAATTTTTAAAAGTTTTATCTGTCTGCTTGTTTCGGCTAATCTCCAAAACGGCTAAGCTGATTTTGACGCGACCTTTACTGACAGATAGCTGATGTTATAAGAAGTATTAGGCTACTCTTATTTCAGAAAAAGAGCTAGGGTTCCGCAAAAAAACCCTTCCTCTGGACTCACGAAGCGAGGGCAAGTATTAACTAAATTCTATGCATTAAATTGTTTTACAATCTTTAAGATGAATCAATTTAACACAATATTTAGAATTCGTGGCCCAAAGCAGTGACTCATAATATATAAATATAAAAATATGACATTCTACAATAGCTATCGTTCAAAGAAAACTAAAAAAATATATGACATACATTATCATTATGTCACGTCTGCGTAATACCTACGTCATTACCTTACATTTCTTTGTAGTTGTTTATTAGCAATATCGATGGCCCGAAATTCAACTTGCTTAGCTGGGCGGTATCTAATGAAAATGTTAAATCATTACCCAACTACAGAGGTTACATACACATACATATATATAAAACAAAGTCATGTTAGTTACACCATTTATAACTCAAGAACGACTGGACCAATTTTTATGATATTTGAGTTTTTGGATTTCTCGTAGTCCAGAATAGGAGAATAAGCATTAAAACATCAGTAAAAATAATATTTATATGGCTAACGTTGGCTAATAACTACTTTTATCTATTTAAAACGTACCTAGCGACGAACCCGAGCGAAGCGAGGCTGAGCCGCTAGTTGTAGGTATATAATATGTTCATCCGTTTCCGCAAATTTAAGCTATCAATCATAATTTGACCAATTAGGTATCCCATAATTCTTTCTTAGATTTACGCGAATATTTGATATTTTAAATAATTTAAAACTTTTTAAGTCTTTCCCGTGACCATGATTGTTGTAAAGCGTTTGAAACGCCAAAAATAAAAAATAAAAAAAAACTGCGGAAAAATCTGAACTTTCATTTATAATTATAAATAAATAAAAAAAAACTACGCAAAGAATACTTACAGTTTAAGGAACAATCCTTAAAATATAAAAAAACTTAATCGAGTAATCATATTATGCTAAAATGCCTTACATCATTTCGAAAAAGAGCTGATACTCTTACACTGCTGGACCGATATTAACGAAATATAGCTAAGAACCACCGCAAGGAAACTGGCTTTCAAATGAAAAAAAAACCCATCAAAATCGGTTCATCCGTTTGAGAGCTACGATGCCACAGAAAGACACACACAAAGAAAGACAGACATCGATGTCAAACTTATAACACCCCTCTTTTTGCATCGGGGTTAAAAATGAGTTGTCGCGTCGTTAGAAGCGCCTCGATCATCTACTGGCTGGCTGGCTATTTGACGTAACACAAAATTCAATATGGCGCCCTCTAGTAGACAAAGTTTTGTATTAAAACAAAACCATTTACCCGAGTACAGAGGGTATAATATGATCTTATTAGTTAATAAAGACCCTATAAACCTACAGTTATTTGCAGTACCAATATTCATCCATTACGGTCAGCCTTGCCATGTCCTTGTATTGTTTACTGGAAAGTGACAAGTATTGTTATCGCGCAAGTTTCTGGGATGAGATGAGGAAACTGCGAAGTACTCATATATTTGAAGTGTGGTACAAATTAAAAGAACATCGCCATGTATCAATTAGTTGGTCCTTATTGCTAAATACTAAATATAAAAAAAATCGATGTGTGTATACATGTGCCCTATGGACTACAAAACGGCCTGAGCGATTTTGATGAAATTTTCACATTATCTATATACTTCTAGTTGTTAAACAGATAAATGTGCTAGTTCTATCTCTCTACCCTTTTGGAGCAAATTGTTGGTGACAAACCCCCCTGGGTCGTGTTTGTTAATATGTTTTATGATTTAAAAAATATATTTCGTCTGTAAAAAGAGTGAGGAGACTACCACATTGATCGGATCTTAGACTATTACTTTTATTTGACAATTGGAACTTTAATAATGACGGGTATACTTAACTCGTTACGAGATGGCACTGCAGCGTTTTAAAAGCAAAACGGTTTTGACGTTTCTGTCAAAACCAAAGTAAGGCCATTCTACATGACATTGGCAAAGTTATCTGTGCTCAACTGGCGTCTGGCACGTTTTGAAGTCATTAACAAAAAAATTGAATTGAAAAGAAGAAGCCTTCTGTACGATTTTTATATGGCGGTGGCATAACTTTAATCGCTTACACTTTGTACCACATACAATTAATTAGTCATCGTGTCAAATTGCCTACTGGTTTATCAGCGATGCAGCATGCGTAGTTTCCGTCGACATTGATAATATTGACACATTACTATTTTAACTCAATTATATACAAGAATGCAGAGGCTTGTTTTTCATTCATATCTGTTGAGTCGCGATACATTATAATCTTTTGCTACGTAAAAACGCTTGTTTGTAAATATTATTATAATTAACAGTAGTATTCATAAGTGAACACCTTTAAAGAAAAATATTGTACATGGCAACCGAATAAAATCGTTTAAAAAAATTTAAAAGAAAAACTTAAAAAGCAAAACCTTATCTAAAAACAAAATTTGATCCAAATCGTTAGAGGCGTTTTCGAGATACACGAAATAAATTCATATATATTTTCAAGTATAATTGCTAATTTAATATTATAAAATTAGTATGTTAATTATAAATTATTTTATTACAATATTGTTCTTTGCACCTGCAGTCAACGTCGATAAGATAAATAATTTTCTTCTAATAAAAATAGAAAACAACTCGTAGACCTAAGATACCGGTCTTTTCAAAACTCAACATATTTACATAATACAATATCTATACTTATATGTCTATCCAGCATCTAAACATATGGACCAGCTGTCTTAAGAAAATCCTACTTGAGCAATAAGAGTTTGCACGGGTCACCGGTGCGTCCGATCAGCTGTGACGGCCCGTTACAACACGTATGCCCAGCGCTTGCACCTTTCCGTTGCCATACTTAGGTTTAGATTTATTTATATGTACTGACCTAGCATTTGCCCGTCTTATATTCGCGTATTTAACTAAAAAGAAAAGAAGGAACGATTTTCAAAACACTTTAAAACATAACAGACGTGGTTTTTTTTTTTTAATTGCATTGGAGATATAATCAATTACTTAAAAAGAAGAATTAAAATTAGCTCACAAATACTCAATGCGATAAAAAAATATGACTCTAACCTAAGGAAGGTATTGTTACTAAACACATAAAAAAAACATGTTTTGTACAGACAACTACTAATAGTCTACTACAGGAGCTAATCAACTATAACCTATTTGCATTTTTCTATATCTATACATATAATAAAATTGTAACTAAGCCGAATCTGTACATTAGATATTTTTTTTTAAATCTTATTGAAATAAACATTATTATCGATACAGAGGCCGAATCCATAGTTATTAGAATTGTTATCTGTCTGTCTGTCTGTTACTGCATCACAGAAAAACCACTGGAGGGATTTTGATCAAAATTTGGTATGGTGATAGCTGGTTATTCGGGTCAGCATATAGGATAATTTTTACCGTGACAAAATGTCTCATTTTTGAGAAAAAATACAAAAACTGCAATGTAAGAGTATACTAATATGTAAAAGAATTTGGTTTTTGGTCATCTGAACACGGGCGGAGCCGCGGGCAGTGCTAGTAAATTTGTAATGCCCTTATTTTGCCGATATCTTAGAAAAAATTATTATTTAATACAAAACAAAGGTTAAAATATTATGTAATTAGCAGACGATCGTCAGCCATCAGGCCATAAGAATAGCTAGTCCAGTTTATAGCAAGTTATAAAATCAAAGTGCTTAGATAAAGTGCGCATGCGTGATGTGAAAAGATGAGTGCCATTTATTGCTATAGCCCAAAGCTTATTAATC